TATATGAGACGGTCGGGGAGGTGCTCCACGTCGATCTAGTGATAGAACCCATTGTACAAGCGATTCCTCTTCATTTTGAGTTAATATATGATTATTGGCGCGTGTTTCTAAGCGCGAAGTGATTCCATTTAATCGTCGTTGAAGAGTTGTGCGAGGAACATTATAGACACGCGCCGCTTCACGAATATTGCAGATTTCTTCTCTGTTTAAAGCGGATATAGCAAGTAGTATTCTGTCCTCCTGCTCAGCCAAACTTCTTGAATTTTGAGGCGCTTTTAGAGGCATGGTTGGTAGTTGAATTGAGTGAGGCAATAAAACGCGTAATTTTTTGATGAGGTGGCCCGCTCGTTGGTGTGGCCCGCTCACCGGTGAAATACGTTATACTCTGCATTTAGTAATCACATATACCTGTAGGCTGAGAGTGGAATGGTATCCACTATATTGTTAATATATTTCAGAACTCACATTTCAACATACATGATATGCACGCCTATAAATAGGTACCTAGTCGCTAGAGGACCCCTCCAGCGTCGTTGTGCGAGTGTGCGAGAAGAAGGTTTTCACTGATCATAAAGTATATATGGTGCAATCAGTATATCATAACCCTAACCTACATTCCGTCAAAGATCTACTGAGGAATATTATTATGAATGGTGTATGTTACGTGTCAATTAGAATGATATGTCGGGTTTGAGGTATGTATTTGAAGTTTAGGCCTAGACGGTGTTGATATATATATGTCTGAGGACCCACGATTACCTCTACCGGAAAAGAAACAACTACCCACGAAAGCCCTTTACTCGGCCACAAACATAAAACAGTAGCTTTGCATTCCAAGTAGAGAGCAAAATTCTTAAGATCTTCAACACTACCTCTAGTATCAGATGTCTTCGGTGCCTCCCGAGGGATTTGATTCGACAGCCTTTGACAGAAGGTCAGGTGATCACAACGACGTCATCTGACCCGAACAGGTAGGCATCAACCGCTTGTATTTCCGCTGTCGTCATCACAGCTTCTACAAGCCATTATCAACGTCTACTTGGTCTATTATACCAATCATAGAATACACTACGTGCGTCTATATATCGGTTTTTGCATGAGAGCAAGTCCATTCAGGTAGTACCAAATATACCCCAGCAATCATGTGCGGCTCGGACGTCTTCCTCGCGATCCTCGCAATATTCTTCCCACCGGTTTCAGGTATGTACCAATGATCCTCTGAACTAGTCACTACTATCGTACAAACATTTGTCGTTGACATGCCCTGCTAACGTTGCGCAGTATGGATTAAAGTAGGCATTTGTACAGCAGACTCGATCATCAACCTTGCCCTTTGTTGTCTCGGCTATGTGCCGGGCCTACTACATGCCTGGTATATCATTCTCAAATATCCAGAGCAGGATCCTGATGATCCTTATTACGAACCAATTTCCGGGGGTGCTCATCGAAGGGACGTCGAAAACGGCCATGTGACATACTACTACGTTTCTCATCAACAGATCCAGCACCCGTCTCAGAGAGGCTACGGCACTGTGGCACCAAATACGGCGACGCCCCCGCCGCAACAGCAATCACAGTCCGCTCCTAAGCCCCAGAATGAGGCCGCGGCCGGTAGCAGCAGCGATCAAACACAGGGTGATTCGCGACCACCACCCACATACGCCGAAGCCGTGAAGGGTGACCATAAGGTACAGGACTGATAGACGTGTGTGACAGTCCTTCGTACCACTATCTACCAATCACTTATCTGGACTGTTGCTGTGTGTAAGGGCTGCCTCAGTTGGTACTTGACCTTTTGTAATTGTTTGTACTTTTCTAATGTTATGGGTTACGAGACTATCATCTGTATGGAATTATTTATGTCTTTAATGCTAGCGGCACGAGGAAACAATACCATCCAAGTTTCGAAGGATATCATATATGTATTACCGTCACTCCAGCTTTAAATGTACTCTTTTTCTTTAACCGAGTAATGAATCTACTACATTATATATTGTCGATCCGAAGCAAATTCTACCAAAGAATCTTCATGAGCCTTTACATGTAAGATACTGTATACATCTTTGTAGCCATCTCTATCTGTCCAGATAAATTGCGTGGTACAGAATCACTTATCGTGACTCTTATCAGAAACCCGAAGAAAACCGCGGGCGATTCGATTCCGCCGACTTTCCCGCCTTTCCTTCGGCATCCACTCCCCAACCAGCCTTAACTCACCCGACTGCAATTCAACAAAAGAACCAGCGTTTGGTCAGGTTCTCGTGGCCCTTCAAACCGGCCATGCAGTCCATGCCATTGCTGCTCAGGCAGTCCCTCCGATCAACCACCACCTTCACAAGAACCTCTCGTCCGGTCCGATCACCTCTTCTTTCCGCCGTTGGCCCGAAGCCTCTTCCTGCTGGTTCAGATCCACGGCGGCAGTTTTCAGTTTGCGTACAATGCCAATTTCGGTCGCAGTTTACGCTGTACTCGTCCAATGAGACAGGAAAATTGAAAGATGGAAAGACTGCTGAGCAGCCGGCGGACAAGGACCAACCTGCTATGGGTTCCTCCGAGGGGAGCCCAACGATTTACCTTGGAGCGGGGAGCTTGGAGCCTCCCCCTTCTGCTAAGGAGAGCAATGAGACTGAACAAGTTCAGCAACAGGAGGCTAAGGATGATGTGAAACCCCAGGGAGCCGAGAGTAAGGGCCTGCCGTCGTATCTTGAGAACCACAGGTCCCAGGTTTCCAAACAATTTACTACCATGATGGATAACCTTCAATCCAACATTTTCGTGGCGGGCCAGCGATTGAACGATTTGACTGGTTATTCATCCATTGAAGCACTTAAGAAAGATATACACACTCAAGGTATGAAACAGATCTACCAATGGCCTTCCACCCGGAGAGAAGTTGATCGTCTTTACTGACCGCCAAACTCCCCAACAGAGGAGCGACTCCGAGCTGCCCGCCTTCGAGTCCGTGAAGCCAAAGACGCATATGCAGCTGCTATCAACAATCGATCAACTTCACAGCGTGAAGTCAACGAACTTCTCCAGCGGAAACATGCCTGGTCGGCATCAGATCTGGAACGATTCACCCACCTCTACCGTAACGACCACACCAACGAAGTAGCCGAAAACGAGGCTCAGGAAGCTCTATCGGTAGCAGAACGCGAGTCTGAGGAAGCTGCCGCGCAATTGAACAAAAGCATTCTGTCCCGGTACCACGAGGAGCAAGTCTGGTCGGACAAAATCCGCCGGATGAGTACCTGGGGTACGTGGGGTCTGATGGGCGTGAACGTTCTCCTTTTCTTGATCTTCCAGATCGCCGTGGAACCGTGGCGCCGGAAGAGGCTAGTCAAGGGTTTTGAGGAGAAGGTCATCGAAGCTATTGAGAAGGAAAAGACCATGAACCACGTTGAGATCCTGGCTCCTGTCAATGCCACTCAACAGGCTCCCGCCGCACCCTCTACCACAGACTCATCCGCTCCTATCATCGCAGCTGCATCATCCCCAGCCGCTGAAGAAACTGTCTCCAACGCAGTCTCAGCAGAAATACCAGACGTCCCAGACTCAGCGACTCCCGCACCCGACACAACAACAGCACCCAACAACCAGAACTCCCTGAACGACCTCCTCGAATCCGCCAAATCTCAACTCTCGCGCTTCCCCCCTCCTGCCTCCGTTGAATCCTGGCGTCAGTATATCGGCGATCTTTTCAGCGATCGCAACCTAGTCATCACCCAACGGGATCTGTCGTCACTCGCTCTTCAGAGCGCGGCTGCTGGCGCAGCTATCATGGGTCTAGTGATTGCTCTTATCCGGCCGCGGTGAAATGACTGCGTGTAAGCATGTCAGGCTAGATGAGTCATTGTAATTAGCGTGCCATTAATTTGTTTGAAATGCTGTGTATAAATGTGGTATAGATATTCGCATAGAGCATTTGTGTAACATAGTTGAATGAATGATTACCTGTTGCCATTGCCCCGTTTCGGAAAGTACAACCTGAGCATTGGGCCGCTCTTTCAAAAATTCATATGGCCGTGTCGCATAAGATATCAATGAGCTGGCGGCTGTTCACCGCTAGTTTTCGACTCGGCTTTACCTAGCATCTGTATTATGCTGTCTTGCCCTATGTTCAATACGGCCGTGGTATCGTGACGATTTCAGACTGGGTTTCGTCACTTTTGGGCTATCATCTTGCTGTCATGTACCGTTTCTCCTTCTCCAATAACTGTGCCGCTTCTCTAAGTATACGTTACCGATAAAACCATACGCTTGAGGCCATGCACATTGGTATGAACGGACAAAAGGAATCGCATGTGAATATACCCAATAAAAGACTATGTAGATACAAGTAACAGACATACAAAAGGTATACATCTATATGTCGACCGTCTCCTGTCTTCATCATTACTCCCCTTAGTCCCTCTAAGCTATCGAAAGAACAAGAAGTGCAGAGAGACGGGAAGGCGGCCAATGACAGAAAGTTCTATACCCAGGAACAATGGGAAGAAAAAACCCCGTGGACAAGGAGTGGTACAGGCTCTAGGAGCGAAAAGTGGACAGGGTAGTTGTTGAAAGTAATAGAAACACGAGGCTCAGTTTTTCTAATCGATCCATATTAAAACAGGGTCTCCTTAATCTTGACAAGATACAGAGATTTCATCTAAAGTGCAGTTACAAACCTTCACTCTCTCATCCCCTTCAACGTCGTTTCCCGTCCGTCGGATAAACCGTTCGCTCGAATTGGCATCGTTTGATTCGTTTAACCGATGACGAGAGTGTCCTCATCGGGGAAGCTGTACTGAGGAACCTCGAGGTTCAGAGGGGCAGGACCCTTCCTGATACGGCCGGAGATGTCGTAGTGAGAACCGTGGCAGGGGCAGAACCAGCCGCCAAAGTCACCGGATTCACCGATAGGGACACAACCAAGGTGGGTGCAGACACCTGAAGTGGAGAAAGGTATTAAATACCGCAAAGACATATATGATATCGTTCCGGATCGGATCACATACCAAGCATGACAAGCCACTCGGGCTTCTGAACACGGTCCTCATCAGCCTGAGGATCACGGAGGGTTTGCCATTCAATGGAGTTGGCCTCGTTGATTTCATCCTGGGTACGGTGACGGATGAAGACGGGCTTTCCACGCCACTTGATGATGACCTGTTTGATATCAGGTCAGCCAATCGTGCATCACAACAAACAGCTTCGTAGGGATGATCGAGACATACGTTCTTGCCCTCAGGGATGGTAGCAAGGCCGATTTCAACCTTAGCCTGAGCGAGGACATCGGCAGAGGCGGACATGTTGACCAGGAAGTCTGTTGGTGAAGTTGTCATCAGCCACATGCTCCAAATGATAACCCGATCCAAACCGCCAATTATCTCCATAACCCGGCCATCTTGATTCGCCATCCTGGTATCTTCCACTCCTCCATCTCAATCGATAACCTCCAGGGAAGACCTACCCTGAACAGTAGCCTTGGCACCGACAGCAGAGGCAAGACCGAGGGAACCGGCCATGAAGTAAGAGAAGACCTGGTTGGAGCGTGGGGGCTTCTTGGAGGCATATTTGCTGAAGTCAGGGATCTTGTAGGTCGAGGATTCCTTGGCGCTGGTGAAAGGGCTCTCAAAGGATGACTTGGAGGCATCAGCGACTCCCCTCCGCTGCTGGCAGGAGGCGATGGCAGCGCGAGAAGTGGGCAGCTGTTGGCGGGCGCAAGCGCGCAACAGAGTGCTGGAAGCGGAGGAGAGAGACATGGCGGGCAAAGCAATTGCAGTCAATTGCAACGACGGACGACCGTTTGAGGGGGGTGGAGGGGGGAGTCAAGGTGGACGAGGGAGGATTTTCCAGACGTTGGAGGTTGAAGTCGGAGGCGCGGCATACGGAAAGTCGAACCAGAGCTTTCGCTTCGGAATCACGGGGCGCCTCATTGGCTGATTGGGTCACACTCCGACACTCACCTTATTTTCTACACTATTTATCAATACAATTACAATTGGTACTCGGTAATCATGCAATTCGAAATTGATATCATACCCTGGACAATTGGTTCACTTTATTTATATCCAAATTTAATTTATTTTTATGTTTTTCATTTACTCTATTTTTTGATATATAAAGGTAACCCAAACAACGAGTGACTTGTTCCCAAGCTGACGGAGACCATTTTGCCCGTGATTTCCCGTTCCGTCCATTCCCAATTAACCCAAATGCAAAGGTGACCATAACACGATCTTTTTGCCCATAAAAGAAGCACCCAAACCCAGAACTCCCCATACATGCAACTCCATCGGTTGATATTGGAACATTATAGAGGTCCAGGTTACTGGTCAACCATTTCCACATCCCCGTCCTCTCCCTTGCTCTGGTTGTCAACAGTCCGATCGACTACCAGCGTGCTCACTGCGCCAGTCGCATGCATGACCACCGGCGTCCGAGGGCTCTTTGACGGCTTTTCTTCTATAGCTTGTAGTTCTTCCTGATGCTCTGACTCTCCATTGGCATGCGGTACCGTTCCATTCAGTGTGCGCTGTCCTTTCTCGATCTCGGCTTCTCTGATGGCTTCCTTGGCCTTCTTTTCCTTGAATTGTTTATAGGTTGTTGTCTTGGGGATAACGTCGGAGAGGAATTCTAGATTATCGATCCGCGAAACCGCCGTAGCTATGATGTTCATCCCATCAGTACACTGTATGATGCTGGAAAACGCTATGCGCGACTAACCTAAGTCTTTGTATTGGATAAGCTTTCGTGGTTTCCGTTCGGATTTGACGACATTATGCCCTTGTTCTGTGAGATATTGGATGAACATTTCCTAGGCTAGTCAGTGAGGGGAAGGGAAGTATAAGGTTGCGGCAAGAGAATCACGCACTGTAGCCATCGCGATTACAAACGTAGCGTTGCTTGAACATTGTACTATGTCCTCGTCTAGTTGGATGATTTTCTTTATCCGCGAAACTGCAGAACCAGTCAACTGGCGATATCCATTATGATGGGTGTATTTCGCGTACTAGGAAGAGCGCTCTGGCCGGTAATCTCATGGGAGGGCGCAGAATCCGGGGTGGACTTCTCCTTGGGAGGCATCGTGGGGTCGTGTTGAGCGTAAATTTAGGGCAGAGAAAGGGAAGGTTTTGCTGAATATTACGAAAATAATCGAAATCAATGTTGTGAGGTGTTAGTCTCGGCTGTTCTTGTGTTGATCTAGAAATTTGATAATTATTTGAAGTGTGCAGGAGGTGTTAGGCAATTGAGCCTGGCGCGTGCGGCGTGGAAATCCATATAGCGCGTGGCGTCAGTGCCGATAAAATACGCATTTAGTTATCTACTACTAGTTGGATCCCACACCGCAGATCGACTACAACTAGCGAATTGTTATTATATACCTGCTTTTCCTGAATTCTCCTCGCCAATGTCGTTTATAGATAGTTTACAACACTTCCATAGTCTCAATTGAATTGATCCCATATGAATTATTGAGGTATTGTTCCTTTGTTCTCAACTGCCGAAAGGCGGGAAATTAGCTTGCTTCCTCACGTGGCCGCGCGGCTCTCCCTTGATAATGAAGCTACTATCAATCAATCGGTCGTCATACCCCGAGAGGAATAGCTCTACCACCAACTCTTCTCGGTTGCCTTCGACTATGCTCCCATCGCACATTCAATCTATGGTATGAGCTCAATGCCTGACTCATCAACCTCCCCGCGCTCACCCTCAGTACTATCTGAGCGTCGGAATTGGAGGAGGCTATCAGGCTTATCTACCTCCTCGGCCGCCCAGCAACCAGCCAACGGTCACTCCACCGCAATCACAGAAGAAATCAGCGAGATCAAACGATACGAGGATTTTACAACTATCGACTGGGTTCAGGATGCGGTACACGAGCAAGCGCGACGGAGAGCGAAGCGGCGAGACGGGTTTGGTTTCTGGGATCAAGAAGGCGCTTTTGGTTGGAGACGCAAAGTGCGCGAGTCCTACGACGCTGGACAAGCTTGGCTAGTTATCACGATCGTTGGCGCCGTGATTGGGTTTATCTCCGCCTTTTTAAACATTATCACCGAGTGGTTGTCGGATATCAAGCTAGGCCATTGCACAACAGCATTCTACCTCAATGAATCATTCTGTTGCTGGGGCGCGGAGGGAGGTATGTTGCGACTGCCGCCTTACTAGCTAACGTGTTGGGACTCACAAATTCTCAGGCTGCCCCGAATGGAAGACTTGGACTTCTTGGTGGCTCTTGAATTATGTCATCTATATCTGCTATGCTGTACGTTATCCATGCTCCATGATTTGCAGAGGTTGTTGCTAAGTCCCGGACAGATGCTATTTGCCTTGATTGCTGCGAGTCTGGTCAAATCCTTCGCCCCTTATGCCGCTGGTTCCGGTATCTCCGAAATAAAATGCATTATAGCTGGTTTTGTTATGAAGGGCTTCTTGGGTGCGTGGACGCTCTTGATCAAGTCCATTGCGTTGCCGTTGGCCATCGCCTCCGGCCTCTCTGTGGGTAAAGAGGGGCCTAGTGTTCACTTTGCCGTGTGCGCGGGAAATGTCATCTCGCGGCTCTTTAGCAAATATAAACAAAGTGCTTCGAAGACCAGGGAGGTCTTGACGGCTACAGCCGCGGCTGGCGTGGCTGTCGCCTTTGGTAGTCCCATTGGAGGAGTGCTTTTTTCCCTCGAGGTACGGATATAAATACCTATTGCTCAGACCAGAAACTGATTCTGTATAGGAAATGGCATCATATTTCCCACTCAAAACCCTATGGCGCAGCTATTTTTGTGCCTTGGTAGCGACCGGCGTGTTGGCGGTTAGTACTCCCATGTAATCGACTGTCAAGTGCTAACATGCCCAAGGCGATGAACCCTTTCAGGACTGGACAGCTGGTTATGTTCCAGGTCCAATACGACCGTACCTGGCATTTCTTCGAGTTGATATTTTTTATTTTTCTTGGTGTGTTTGGTGGATTGTACGGTGCCTTTGTGATCAAGTGGAACCTTAGGGTCCAAGCATTCCGGAAGAAATATCTCTCCCAACATGCTGTTATGGAATCGGTGATCCTAGCAGCGATAACGGCTGTGCTATGCTATCCGAACATGTTCTTGAAGATTAACATGACAGAGATGATGGAGATCTTGTTCCGCGAGTGTGAAGGCGGTCATGACTATCATGGTCTTTGCGAGTAAGTAATTCTAAGGAGACTCACAAGCATTGCTTACCATGTTAGGTCCAAAAACCGGTGGCCTTTGGTTGGGTCGCTCGCCATCGCGACAATTCTCCGTATATTCCTGGTCATCATATCCTACGGTTGCAAAGTACCTGCGGGAATATTCGTACCGTCGATGGCGATCGGAGCATCGTTTGGCCGTTTGGTTGGGGTCCTTGTCCAGGCGTTGCACGAGCATTTCCCTGATTCGGCATTTTTCGCGGCCTGTGAACCGGATGTGCCATGTATTACTCCAGGAACCTATGCGTTTTTAGGCGCAGGAGCAGCTTTGAGTGGCATCATGCATTTGACCATCTCAGTCACGGTCATTATGTTTGAATTGACCGGAGCATTGACTTATATCCTCCCTACCATGGTACGCTCATGCCCATAGAGCATCTTATTATATGCAACTAACATGGCTGGCTTGTAGATCGTGGTAGGAGTCACAAAAGCCGTCAGTAGCCGCTTTGGCAATGGTGGCATCGCGGACCGAATGATCTGGTCCAATGGTTTTCCTTTCCTTGATAATAAGGAAGACCATGTCTTCAACGTCCCCGTGTCGCACGCGATGACGGCCGACCCCGTCACGCTTCCTGCATCCGATTTTCCAGTTCGCGAAGCAGAGCACCTTCTGAGCGACAATAAATTCCAAGGCTTCCCCATTGTCGACAACCGAACGAAGAAGACACTTGTCGGGTACATTGGTCGCACGGAACTACGGTACGCCATTGACCGTGCCAGGGCGGAAGGCATTCTCTCGCCCAATGCCCGATGTGTGTTCACCAAAGAAGCTGCTGAAGCTTCAGTAGCACGCAGAGCGTCTTCTTCCTCGCCACATCACCTGGCTCCTGATACCTTTGATGCTATCCAACAGAGCGTCGGTTCCAGCTTCGTGGACTTCAGCAGATACGCGGACCACACGCCGCTGACGGTGCACCCGCGTCTCCCCCTTGAGACCGTGATCGAAATCTTCAAGAAGATTGGACCTCGCGTCATCCTCGTGGAGCACCGTGGCCGCTTAACCGGCCTTGTCACTGTCAAAGACTGTCTTAAGTACCAGTTCAAGGTTGAAGCTCAGGAACACGCACTTGCCGCGACCCAGGCTTCGGATGGCCCACTGGGAGACCAGGCGAGTGCTAGATCCGGCGACACGCTAGAGGAGCGCGTGTGGAACTTCATACAACGAGTGGGCTCCAAGTTACCCCGTTGGCGGCCAGCGGGTCGAGTCGCCTTGTCCGATCGCCACGAAGGAAGGGGCATATCCACCGGTACTGATGACGAAAACGACAGGCTGATGGAATTAGAAGAACGACAATAGTGATATCCCTGCCCATGTTTATATGTATATGTATATAGATATAGAACTTGTATGATTCAAATCGTTCTGAATTTTAGAATAACATAAATCATATACCCTTAGCATTAGTACCCAGAACTCCATCCTACAGCCAAACAATCACATAAACCCATCTAACCAATCTATACTAACACTGATACAAACACACATACTCTACAATAACCATCTACCCCAATCCAATTACCACAAGTAACAAACCAAAAGAAAGCCCAAGAGAAAGAAAACTAGTTATCCCTCATCCCAACCAAAACACACCCACCCCCCATCATCCCAGCCCCAACCCACCAAAGCCCCCCAACCTCCTCCCTAAAAACCAACATCCCCAGCATAGCCGTAACAAGGAAGTTCGCCGCCGTATTCGTAATCGACACTTTTACCGTCGACGGCGCAGCCGTCAAGGCCCTCGTGAAAAGAGCCCACATAATCACATTACAGAGGACATTAAGACCCAGACAAGCCTAATTTTTCACACTCTTAGCACACATACACACATACAACTTACATAACATGCAAGTAAACAATGAGCTCCACCCCCAAGGGGGGCAATTCACAGATAAGGCGGAAAGGGACGGGAGAATCATACACCCCTAACCAACATCTCTAGGATAGGATGATCGCCTGTTAGACTTAGAAAGGCAAGAAGAGATTTCGAGAAGGTTGTTGTTTGGGTATCGGTTGTTCTGGGGGGGGGTTTGTTAGATTATCTTATCTTTTCTTATTGGTTATGTTAGGAATGATTGTAGGGGAAAACGTACAGTTTCGCGAAGAGGCCGTTTAGGGCGGCGAATGCGCCGCTTGCTAAGGCTAGGACTACCCAGCGGGAGTGTGTGGACATTTTTATATATTTTTGTTCTTGTTTCTGTTTTTGTTATATACTGGGGGTTTTTAGTTGGTGAGGTTGGTTGGGGTTAAGGGGAATTGGTTTTGTAGACGGATGGTTGATATGCTAAATGGAGTGTACGTTGTTTCTTGGCAGGTTTTGCCAAGTATTTGGGGTACTTGGGAAATAGGACTGCTTTTGTATGTGTACGGTTTCGGGTTTTATGTGTTGATTTATTATTGATGTATTAGGGATAAATAGCTAATAGTGATTTTCTTCTTAATAGTTATTGGAAATATTATGGGCTTTAAGGGGCTTCAGTCCCTGTGAAGCCGCTTATTTAGATCCAGATAATGGCCCAATTTAAATGTATGACAATCGCAGTACCTAATAAATCCCCTCGATGAGCATGATCTCTAGTTATTTCGACGGCTCAATATTGAGCACGAGCTTCAATTGTTAGCAACTATAAGTGAACAGAATATGTCTCATCGATCAAATACCAATATCGCTGTTCGCTAGTTATGTATAGTATCCCATCTAATCTATACTCTACTTTAAGGCGAAAGTCGTTCAATTCGCCATTTATACGAGTCACTCTGGGGGTCATGCACCCTCACATACCGGAATCGATCATGCAGTCGACTACGCCGGCCCTGCCAGAACTCTACCGACTCCGGTACTAGACGCACGCCGCCCCAGAACGGAGGCAATGGGATCTGCTCCGTATTGGCAAACCTCTCCTCCATTTCGTGCACTCGTTTCTCCAGCAGCGCCCGGCCGTCGTCGATATCCGTTTCATCCACATCTCCCGGAATAGCTTGGGGGAACACATCCTGCGCGAGGCTCTTCCGCCGCCGCTCGATCAGACTGTCTGGCTCTGCGGACCAGAGCACCTTGCTCTGCCAGCTGGCCCAGCCGCCGATCTGGCTACCCCGTTCGCGGGTCCGCCAGTACAGTTCACTCTCTTCGCGGCTAAGGGGTTCAATGAGGCCTTCGATACGCACCTGCCGTTCGGTAGTTCCCCAGCTAAATGTGAGAGCTGCCCATTTGTTCCCTTGTGGCATCTCGTCATCATCTGCGCAGGGCTCGGGCATGGCACCTAGAACGCTATCTCCATCTGCTTGAGTACCAAAGACCTGTGCGCCCTTCCCTTTTCGACTGCCCCAGTTGCTGTAGACTACCCAGCCCCGCTCGTCAAGCTCCTTCAGATATACAACGCGCGCGCTCACCCGACCAGAGGGCAAAGACGCCGTAGCCAGCGTACAAGTCTCCGGAGCCGACGATGCAGACAGTCGGGGGTCGCGGAACCAGGTATGGAACTGATGGAGCGGATTGGTGGGGTGCATCTGGGAGACAGTGAGCGGCGGGTTGGTCACGAACTGATGCGCGCGAGCGGGGTGGGAGACAATCTGGTTTTCGGTAACGGAGTTAGGCGTGGAGGTCTCCGATCGAAGTGCTTCAGCGACGAGTCGGGAGACATTGGCAGGTGTAGCGGTGTCCGGCTTGTGGGGAGGCGTTGTTTGGTCATTAGGGGTTGATACTTGGATGTCACCCGGTGCAACTGGCGAATGCGGGGTTGTGTCAGCGGCTGTGCTTCTAGAAGTGTGGTTATGCCCGTGAAATTTGGACGAGTAGAACCTACAGATTAGCTTTCTGGGGTGTTTCCCATGGTCATCTCCTGGGCTGGCAGGATGGTCAGCTGTTGGATTCTCTGAACTCATGGCGGATAGGTGTCGCGGGGTTTGGTGGTAGCACTGAGCAAATTGTATGCGCCGACGAGAGAAGTAAGTCGAAGACGACAGCCGGAGAGGACGCATAGGCTGTCTTCTACCGACGAGGAAGTAATTGGAGTTGAATGAATGAGGAGTCAGAATGTGGGAGGTTTGAGGTGTGACCGTTGCATGGTTGAATGACTTAATCTATTCCGCGGGGTTGGCCGATAAACGCCGATACCAAAAGTCCGTCGCCAGTACTTCGTAACCAGATCAAGAACAGACTTATTTACTCTCTACGCAAGACTTGGAAGCAACCGCAATTTCTCCGGTTCATAAGTTTAGTATTGATTATCCAAAACTAATCTGTGGACAGCACAGAAGTCTTAGAATTCAAAAAGAATTGCAGCCAGGAGTTTCCTGACTGGAGAGTTGGGAGTGTCTATCGAACAAATAAGAAATAGTAAATAACCCTTAAACCAAACAGCATCATAACCTCTTTTTTACATGAACGCCATATCCGCTCGCTGAATGCAAACCATAAACAAGATGAAGGAGAAAATGTACACCAAATAGGCATGGTATTGCCTCCCAAATGCCAATGCGAAGACCAAATGGGCTGGAAACAGCCAAAGACAGGGATCCAGCCCTGAGAACATATTAAAAATGAATATTCTTTTATCCCTTTTCGATTGAAAACAGTGATTTTAGTCCTGCTTAAAACGAGAGGGTGGAAGGCAACGGTTCGTCAGTGGATGACGCGAGTGCCTACAGGGCAGCAGCGACCGCGGCACCGCCACCAACAAGATCCACAATCTTGCTGGCGACAGCGGTCGGGTATCCACGAGACAGCATCTCTTGCACAATGCGAGAGGCGTTCTCTCGCTCGTTCGCCATGAGGAATGCACGAGTCATAGCCTCGTAAGTGCTGGGCTCCCGCTTGTCCACACCAATGCTATCATAGATGGTCTTAGCTTTGCTCACGTTGCCCTCCGTGGCCCACCCTTGAATAAGAGTGTTGGCAATGTAGGCAGTCATATCGACCCTACGCTGGGCCATATCCTTGACAATGTCCTCAGTTTGTGCGACCTGGTGGTTGGCCACCATGGCCTCCAGGAGGGCCTGGTACAGACATGGCTGGAGTCGCACTTTGCTGTTGGAGACGACCGAGTTGAAGACTCCCTGGGCAGCTTTCATGTCATGCATCACACAGCCATGAGCATGGATAAGAGATGCATAGTGCACGGCCTCGGGTTGCTGTCCGGCGGCTTTGATGGTTTCCAGTACTTTCTCCGCAGCCTTCATATCCACAGGCTCCAGAGAGGCGTATGCGTCGATGAGCAGCTTGTAAGTGTGCATGGTGGGCTGGATATTACGGCTGAGCATGCGCTCATAGTACGCCAGAACCTTGCTGCGGTCGCGCTTGGTATTCAGGAAGTACTGAATCATGGAGTTGTAGGGAGCTGGGCGAGGCTTGTAGTTGGGCATCGACTCCATCTCCTCGAACATCTCTTCGGCGAACCGTTCATCGCTGACTCGGCAAAGGGCGTTCACAATTGTTCCGTAGGTAACACTGGTGGGACGCACACCCTGAGCACGCATCTCGGCGAAATACAAGAGACAATCATCAATACGACGGGCTTTGCCAAGCTTTCCGATCAAGGCGTTGTACAAGAACGAGGTAGGCTCAACCCCTTCGGCGACCGCACGGTGGAAGATCTTAAGGGCTTCGGTCGCCTCGTCGAAGGTCTTGGTTGATTCCTTGAGCGTGGTGATATAAAGACCGAAGGTGTTGGCAGACGGAGCGGAGCCAAGTTCCGAAAGCTCCTGGTGATACTTGGAGGCAAGACTGCGATCATTGAGGGTAAGGCAGGAGGCTACCATGGCGTCAAGAATTGACACCCAACCGTACTTGACAGCGTGATACTGGTGCAAGAGAGGGACGTCGCGGCGAGCCATGCTTAGGATTTCATGGACCAAATCGTTACGATGACACTTGGCGGCAGCGGTGATCAGTTTGGCATACGTGATGTAGCGAGGATGACGCCCAGAGCGGCGCATGTTCCGAAGCCGAGTCAAAGCATCGTTAAGGTGGGACTCTGGGCGACCGCTGGTGCTTTCCAACTGTTCGGCAATCATCGCAGATCCTTTGAAATCGGTGGCATAGGCGTACGGATCGAACGAGTCTTCGCTAGGCGCGGAGGTCATCGTCGACATTTCAGAGACTGGAGTGTGGCGATCGGACAAGAACGAAGACGGGCTGGAGGTGAGGCCAAGGTGGTCGTGCCACCTCCTTACCATGTCAGGACGGCTGTTGAATAGCTTCCCGACCGCCTGGTCGACAACGCGAGTAGTGTAGGGATCCATTTGAAGCCCGGTAGCCAAGGCAATGTCAAGCATGTGAGAAAAGCGGATTGGGTGCGCAACATCCAAAGACGCGGAGCTGTTGACAAGCATGCCGGCCTGGACCTGGAGGGCAAGAGTTAGGTCGCGAGGGTTGAGCTGCTGGATGGCAATAGGGCCGAGGCTGGCGACAGCGTGGTCAGCGACCGGGGAGACCAGTCCACCGTTCTCGACCATTGACCAAAGAAGAGTCATGACAGATTGGGGAGAGAGGACGGCAGCAGTTTGAATAAGTTCGCGACCGATGAGATGAAGACTTTCATTGATCTGTTCCCGGACGGAGTTGAGTAGATAAGGGTTGTCGATCGAAGTGTTGCGGACCCGTCCAAACATATTACGGGCCTCCACTAGGGCTTCTTCGATCTGACCACTCTTCAATAAGGCCACCGAGTACATCGCTGTCGGCTGAACCATGTCCGGCGTTGTCTGACCCACAGTGCTTAGCATAACCCACAGAGGCCTAGCCGCCGACACGTTGCCTTGACGCACGTATAATGCCAGCATCGAGATAGCAGGGCCATGACGTTTTGTGGTATCAGTAGGCAAGCAATCGTATGCCTCGGAAGCCGTTTTGAGGTTACCGGCATCCGCCGCGGCGATGCAGATTTCGGCCATGGCATGATCCAGGGCCCCATCGCGCAACCGTGTCTTAGCCTGACTCAACGCCTTATCATGCTCACCCGATTTCAAGGAGTGCGAAACAAGGCCATCTCGAACGATCACGGTTTCAACAGCATCTTTCCGGGTTTCTCGGTTTTCTGTCACCTCATCGAAAGAGGCCCGGATCCGCTCCAAAAAGCGCAAAGCCTCCTTCTCCTTACCACACGATAGATACGCTTTGACCAACGCAGCATACACCTGGCCATCCAGGCGTTGAACGATGCTGAACGTACCATTGTCGTCTGAGATTGCGAGAGCCTTATACTCGTTGTAGCACTCCACAGCGCTCTTCAGATCCCCAGTAGAGGCGAAAGCATCGATCATCGACGGGAATATAGAGGCATGCGGTGTAACTTTGTGGGTTTCCATGTGAGCGTAAACGCGGATCATATTCTCAACTTGGCCTTCTCTCGCACAGGCAATAATCAGGCGGCTGTAGGTGTCTAATGGAAAGACGAGATCGGTGTGTCTTGTGGAAGCAGTGTCAAACAATTTGATAGCGATACCGAGCGAATGGTCCTCATCGAGAATGGCTCGCTCCAACTCGCTCGAGTGGAGCATGAACTTGCCAGGCTCTTCCATTCCTCCGTAGCGGACCCGATCCTGCTCGAGCGATTTCTTGGACTTCAGGGCATCGTGTGCGCGCTCCACGAAGAGTTGGACGAGTGTTCGATACGTCTGCTCGTCGGGAATTACCCTACGACGGAGCATATCAGAATAGACATCCAGTGCCTTCGGGATTGCCTGAGCGGTGTCACCGTGAAGCCGCACAGCCGATTCCAGCAGGGCATTGTAAGCGCCGACCGTGGGAGTCAAGCCATCTCTGAGTAGTGATTCAAATGCACTGGGGATCTCAGCGTAATTCTTTGCCAAAGCCAGCTGGATAATCTGGTCGGAGGCGATACGAGCTTGTTCCGTGGAGACATCCGCGATGGCAGCCACGTCTGCTGGTAATTCAGGGAATGCCTCGGTGGCCGAGTCATCCTTTGCTTCGGATGCCTCCTCAGCTTGGGCTTGCTCTTCCTGAATTTGAATCTCTCGAGCTACCGCCTCCTCAACCTGAGCGCTGACATCGGCATTGGCGGAGGCCTTCGTGATATGGGGCGAGTCGAAGTTATGGGAATTCGTCGAGTTCACGCCATCCTCCTTGGACTTTGCTGCTTCTTCCGGCGTTGACGGTTTCCACCCCAGTTTCCGCTTCACCTGAAACTGTTTCCAATCACTATCGTCACCGGTCTGCTGAGCGTGTTGCCACGCGGCATAATACGCCGCGAGGCCTAAGTCCCCTGAGCCCGAGCCGCCCTGGCTGGCTTTGGCGCCAGCGCCGGAAGAACTTGAGGGTTGGAATACATTTTGCAATGCGCTCCGGGAGACCTTTGCCGGTTGATTGGCGAGTTGATTGAATGTGGCGGAGGACGCGTAGGAAGACTGCGACGCCGCAACTACCGACTGAGCATAGCCATGAGTGAAGGCTTTGGTGAAACTCTGACGTGCGAGATGGGTAAACGGTTTGAAAACCATTTATCTGGCAGGAGTCCTCTTCAGCGTGAAGAGGCAATGCTGTTTTCAATGTTAGTCACGCGACCATTCTTTTAGTTCCACCTTTCCGAGTTCGGGTGATGTGTTGTTTGATTCTTACCTTGCAATCAAAATAATAGTAAGGATGCAGGTTCATTTGACGACAGCTGGTCGTCAAAGGAACGCGCTTGTATATACAAGGGAATTGAAACGAAGGGAGGAAAAATCTTTTCGTGAAGGTGTCGAAAAATATGACAGATCGGACAAGAGGGAATGGATGGATATTTGAGAGAAGGCGAGAATAATCGTTGACCAATCCTAATGGAGATTAGTGCCGATCCCGCAACGACTTGACTTCTTTGAGGATAATTAATTCAATAGGTTAGTACTAGAGCTGATCGTACCTTTGGGGGAACGAATCGTCTTGGATGGAATTCTAAGGAATAAACCCTCGGGTATGTATCTACAAGACGCAGGGGGCAGAGAATCCTACATTTAAAAGGAACCCAGACAGGAACCAGGGGGAGGTTTAAAGGAATATGGCTATGCTTCTTCTCAACATGTCCGATGCGAACTAGAAAACACGAGAAAATAAAATAAAAGTAAAAAAAAATTTCAAAAAAAAGTACATTTAACCTTCGTCATTCCCTCGTTGCCTAAGGCTATTTCCACAGGTCAGGTGGCCCTGGAACCCCGGGATAAGAAGCCGTCAGGGGACTTAGCCCAATCGGCGGGCTTTCCACACTGGGGCCATAGGAAGATTCAGGAGCGGGAATTCTTGATGTCTGGCCAAACGTGACTCACCGCGTCCCGGCTCATTTTCTTTAGACCCTCCTCCGGAGTTTGGCGTCTAAGCCCCGTGTGGGACTGGATCCTAAGCTCCGGATATCCGAAGACCGAACGACCGACGGAGATGCCTGAGGCGATATTTTTTATTGTGCTTTGAATGGCTAGGGTTTTGCCCATGGTCATACCAAACGGCTCGAGGACAAATGGAAGGTATTAGTAAAATGCGAGTACGGAGTATTGAATTTTTCCTTCTCAGCAGTGACTGAGCACGGCAGAATTAACTTTTTCTTCCATCTCCATCGCGGTACGTAATTGCAGTCTCAGTCATGTTATTCGACGAAAGGGATAAACTCCTTTGCAGAAGAGGCCACTTGTCTTTCTCTAGGGCCAATGGTCTTGTTTTGAATCCCTGCTTAGCCAGTACTTATTCACTCGTTTTCCGAATCTATTGCTGAATATAAGTACGGGGGTAACGACAGACGGAGAACAGTACAAAAGAGTATCCGTACACCTGACCAAATGTCCGACGGGAAATTCCCGATATGTCATACGATGGTCAGAGCATGAACGGTTACCCTAATAAACTACTCCGCAGTAGGCTTCGAGCCTTCGACTCCTACTCTCGGCGGCTCACTGCCACCAATAATAGTGGTTAGAATCGGACAACCTAGTATTAAATAGCATGATGATGGAACATCGAACCCGATTGATGGGGTGTTTGAAGGTTGTTTGTGAGTGAGAGGAAGGTCCCTCTTTAGTCAGCGGCGTCACATCAAAGCTCAAGCCACAAACATCAGAGTCTCAGCCACAATTCATATCAGCTGCAGCCACAACATGGAAATCAATCAGTGGAACGATAATACGAGCTCTGGAAAGCTTCCCTCTCCGACAAATAATCAGTCTCATTTACAGAATCATCATAATCATAATAATAATAATAACCGTATTGTTTGCTTCGTGCACAGCTGAATTTTCTGCGGCACCCAGGCTCAAACTTCTCTATCCTATCTTCGGTGACGATTCGAGGCGGGGCACTTTTGACCGATTCGGGAAAGAAACGACATAGATTACTACATGGGACTGGGGTACCTCTCTGTGTCGTCGATAACGCTGATCTCTCGCCAACGTTCGCCCTTTGCGATTTGATTTTCCTCGGATCGGTGCGTACAATTCTAGGGCAACCGATACTCTATACAAAATCGCACAACAGTTTCTTCTGGAACGTATATGGAGTAGTGACTGATTATTGAGATTCAGTGTTGAAGTGATCGCCAGATTCAGTTCGACTTACCAGCCCGTTTGATTTTTTGTAACAGAAGATAACCTCTTGGTCGAACAACCACCAGCCACATGTCCTATCCGCCATCCGGGAGCACCGCCTTGTCCGCCCCGGGCAAGGTCCTTCTTACTGGTGGTTACCTCGTTTTAGACCGCAATTACACGGGAACGGTTATCGCACTCGATGCCAGGATCCACGTTATTGTCCAACAATTGAAAAGAGGTCATCGGCGGGGTGCATCATTCAGCTCAGTGAAAGGGGGTCCCGATACGGAGACAGTTGAGGACGGAAGTGCTGTGGACGACAAGGATAACGAGGACGTTGTGGTTGTACGCTCGCCGCAATTTGTTAATGCACTGTGGGAGTACGGTGTACAGCGTTGTGAGAATGGAGGTGGAATCAAAGTAATCCAAAAGAACGAAGGGTAAGAGAATGTTTTCGACCTCTGCTGTTCAAAAACTAAAGGTTTCAGGCGTCATAATCCGTTTGTCGAGACTTCTCTCAACTACGCTCTCACCTACATCAGCTATGTAGCCGACTCAAAGGACTTTGGATCCCTCTCCGTGACCATTCTGGCCGACACTGATTACTATTCTGAGACCGCCTTCTCTAGGGCTTCTGAGTCCCCTGGAAGATTTGTGAACTTCGGTGTTCCTCTCCACGAGGCCCACAAGACAGGACTGGGTTCCTCCGCGGCTCTAGTGACAGCTCTAGTATCGTCCTTAGTCATTCACCGTACCCTGCAGCCAGACGACCTCGGTGCTTCTCGTGATAAGCTTCATAACTTGGCACAGGCTGCCCACTGTGCCGCTCAAGGTAAAGTGGGATCCGGGTTTGATGTGGCTGCTGCTATCTACGGATCTTGCCTATACCGCCGATTCTCTCCAAGCATTCTGGAATCTGTCGGTGACGCCGGTTCACCTGGGTTTGAAGAGCGGTTGTTTGCAGTTGTGGAGGACGCCGACCCTAAGCATCCGTGGGATACAGAGTGCTTAGATTTCGGCATGCGACTTCCTCGAGGCATGCAGATGGTTCTGTGCGACGTTGAATGCGGCTCAAACTCCCCTTCGATGGTCAAGAAAGTGCTTGAATGGCGAAAACAAAATCAGCAGGAAGCCGATCTTCTCTGGGCTGCCCTTCAGTCGAACAATGAAAGGCTCTGTCTTCAGCTCAAGCAGCTAGTCCAGAGCCCTGATCAAGAATCGCCCGAAGATTTCAATGATGTCCGCAACCTCATCCAGCGCTCACGCAATCACCTTCGCAGCATGACCCGCAAGGCGGGAGTCCCCATTGAGCCGAGAGTACAGACGGAGCTGCTTGATGCAGTGTCAGCCATTGACGGAGTGATTGGTGGTGTGGTTCCTGGTGCGGGAGGCTATGATGCGATTGCTGTCTTGATCCGCGATGACCAGGAGGTACTTAAAAAGTTAAATGAGCTCTTCGAGGACTGGGAGAGTAAGGTGGAGGACGATTTCGGTGGCAAGATCGGAACTGTCCGGCTCCTCGGTGTGCGTCACGGCTCAGATGGAGTCAACAATGAGGGTCTCGACCAGTATGCCGGCTGGATCTAAGTCGACAGCTCTGTCCACATGCTCGCCATGCACAGCTACTAATCCAAGTAGACTTGACATTCGAGAGGTACTGTGCTAAACAGCAAAGAATTTCTACCTGACTCAGCATACATTACATCTGAACTCGGCGCTAATATCGATTCTCTGCTTTCTTCCCTATTATCCCTTCTATTAGCCCAAGCATTCCGTTACGAGCGAAGCCAGTGATGAAGAGCATTTCTAGTCTAAGCACGATCATGACCATTGCATCTTTCCATAAGATAGCCTACACAAAATGGCAATGCAAAAAAGCTAGTAGACGTCTTGTGAAATGAGGCTGTCCAGTCTCCCTTCAATTTAAGAAAAATAAGAGAAAATAGAGAACGTCAAATACAATCAACTTCACATCCATCCAGGGTCAGTGTTGGGATAATTGCCATTGCATGTGCAGACCCGTAATCCAAAGCCAAGTCAAGCAAAACTCGAACTCTACAAACCACGAGTGCCTGCCCTTGAAACGCTATGACGCGTTTCCATTCTTGCTGGACGCGGCCTTGGAAAAGATATAAACCAGACCCTTTCAGATAACGGAGACCACACGATTCAGGATAATTCATTATTATTATCTAGCCAAAACCACGGTCTGTGTAAAGCAGTGCAATATATCGTCAGCAATCCCATACAGAATACATATCAACGGCCCCTGTTACTCCAAATGATAATGATTAGGCATATCATATTGCAACTGCTACCGGCGTCGAGACGATGCTTGTGGCAGTCGGGCGACCTATGGACGAACCTGCCTGGCACATTCGGTAAACTTTTATTCTTTACGATATGTCTATCGTATGAGCATATGGCTCTTCGGTGCTCGTCTAATCGGATGCAACAGTCCCTTAAATCTACAAGCCTACTCCCTCCTTCCATAGACTGACCCCATATCTTAACCCGAACTTCGGTCCTAAATCCTTGCCCCCCCGGACAATTCCCCATACCCCGAGAATAGCATATAAACCCATCCTACAGAAACAAGCAGTGCTCAACGAGCTCAATTCTACCAAATCATATACCCCATTTACCATACATCTGCTTTAGGGCAGAAGTCGCCATCACAACCACCACACATCACCGATATGCGTTCGGTTCCCTTCAACCCGAACTTCTATAACAACCTTCATCCCCGATTCAGTCGCAGGGGTATCGGGGGATTGGTCAAGGTTGCTCTTCTGGGGACTTGTGTTTGGGTTGTTTCGAAGAAGGTGGTTATGAGGTAAGGGGTTTGAGTGTTGCTGTGTGCCTTTTATTTGGAGTGTGCTGATTATGGGGGTTTAGTTCTAGTTCTGGGCCTGGTTCTGATAGTGCTAGGAGTATGTCTCAACGGAATTCTGGGTTGGAGGAGAAATTAGGGTCTGATTCTTTTATGGGAAATTGAGAGGGAATATAGTGATTTAGATCATGTCTTCAGTCTTAGTACATATTCTTGTTGCTTTTATTGTTATCGCTCTGCCTTGGTTTGGAGTAGGTGATTCATTGCTGCCAAAAGCTAGAGATGTCTTGTTTAATCATAACAACAGTTCAATTCATTGGGGCCATAAGCGACATAAATGTCATCGTAGCTATAAACATAAACGATTCAATTATTCAAATGTACATATGTACAGCCATGCAACATATCCATCGCATGAAAACATCCCCTGATAACATGGGTATCCAGTAAAAGCAAGTATAGGCAGTCCAAAACGCCTTCGCAGCATAATGTTTCTTTTCTAGAATTGAGGTTCTATGCAGTATAGAACAATGAGTTGATGAGTCCCACACCATGTAATTCTTTATAGCTGACTAGGCAGGTAGGACGAGTATTCCTGCGAGTCCTGGGGGGCATGTTCGGCGATTCGCTCCTCGACTTTCTCGTTGTTGTTGAGGATACCGTACTCGGCTGCCTTGGCCTCGATTTCATCGTCGGAAAGCTTGGGAAGTTCTTTCGCAGCGCGCACATAGCTCATCTTCTCCACGTATCCCTTGGCGAAGATCAGGTCGATTTCTTCCAGACTACGACCTGCAGTTTCTGGATAGAAAAGCCAGATGATTGGAATGAAGACTGCGTTCCATGCAGCGAAGAACAAGTATGTGCCCCAGCCGATATGTTCTACCATGACAGGGGTGATCATGACCACGGTGAAGTTGAACAGCCAGTTATTGCAGGTGGAGATGGCGTTGGCTTTAGCTCTGGTCTTGATCGGAGAGAGCTCGGCGGGATAGAGCCATGGCAATGGCAGCCAGGTGGCTCCAAAGAAGCACATATAGAGGAAGAAGCCGAAGACGGCACCCTTTGCACTTTCTTTATCGCCAGGAATAAGACAGGCAAATACAATAACCATTGCTGCGCATTGCCCGTAACTGCCTCCCAAGAACAATTTACGGCGACCAATTTTTTCGATGAAGAACCACGAGAACGTTGCAAAGATGGCGTAGCAGATCATGTTGATACCGCCGATCAAGAGCGCAAAGTTGTGAGATTGGCCAATAGATTGCTCAAGCAAGACTGGGAGATAATAGATGACAGCGTTGCAACCGGAAATCTGCTGGAACATCTGCGACGACGAACCCACGAGCATGCGGCGCAGATGCTGGGATGGTCCACCTGTAAGTAGATCACTGAATTTGGCTTTCGTGGCACCCGAACTGTCTCACGGTAAGCTTCCAAGGTCAAGTACATGTCATGGAAGAGGAAGACTTACGCTCGGACGGAATCAAGAATCAGATTCTTTTCCGTTTGAGTGTGACGATCCTCAATCTCAGTGCCAGCCAGCGCGGCGAGGACCCGCTCGCCTTCGGCGACTTTATCGTGGGCGATGAGATAGCGAGGTGACTCCGGCAGGTAGAACATGCCGACAATGATAATGATACCGAAGAAGACCTGGAACGCGATCGGGAATCTCCATACCAGGTCTTGTGGTCCGTAGTGTGCACCATAGTCAATCCAGTATGCAATAGCCGTACCTATGGCGATAATACCACCTTCAATGCAGATAAGAAGACCTCGATTGCTGGTCTTGGAGCATTCAGCTTGGTATGTGGGAATTGTCGAGGTGTTCATTCCATTCCCAATGCCAGTAATAACTCGACCGAAGATAAATTGAAGAAGGGGAAGCGAGCCTGGCATAGCAGACACCTGAATAACGACACCAACAATCATAATAGTGGCACCGGCGATAACCATCCACCGGCGACCCGTCCGATCACCAAATAGCAATGCGAGGATTGCACCGAAGAGACAACCTACATTGGATGATCAGCTTACTCGAACGAAAGGGAGCATTCTTAGGGCCGCATTGCGACTTACCGACTTCATAGACTGCAGTTACAGTAGCCTGCATTGTATTGTCGCCCTTGGTTGCCGTGAACATGTCATTAAAGGCCGGGTCTGAGATGATGCCCGACATCACACCCTCTACAGCCGTGGTCAGCGTGACTTCCCCTAAATGTATGCAAACCGTAGAGACTCACGATCATATCCGAAAAGCAAAAACCCCATTGTTGCAATGGTAGAGACTGTCAGTGACAGTTTCCGCCCTGACATCCCCGCATAGGTGGGAGGCGCCATGATGAGAATCCTATACTACGCTGAAGTACAATGCACAATATCTGGGGTAGAGCAGTGATTAAATTGGGATAATATTAGAAAGAAGTTGGACTGGGGAAGAAATTTATGTACAGGACGATAGGATCAGACAGATTTTAAGCAGGGACGACTCCAGGTCGACAATCGTTGACAGGAGATACTGTGTGCGGTAACCTGTGGCGTCACATACCCCAGTGGGGGAGGAAGATCCTATGGGGAGAATGCTTTTCACCTCCACATTGATGGAGACCATGGGCAGTATTGCCCTTGACATCATGGCAGATTTCTTTGACTGGAGGAAGCAATGAAGGGCCACCTTGGAAGCACCATAGAGAGTAGAATCAAAGGTAGGAGTGGACCTGCTAACCAGCGCGGTGGGATGGCAATGATGTAATACCCGTTCACAGAACACTTTAATTCCACCACACAATCACGAGTCGTCCCCACCGATGGAGACAACATGCGTGAAAATTTTTTGCTCGTCGTCCAAATGTCGAGTTGCATGAGTACTTGTCGACGTCAAGTTTTTCAAACCCGAACTAGTCACTATCATTGGTCGCAATGAAAGCCAAGTGAAAGCTTATGTCAGTCTTCGGGAACCTGAACCCGTCAAGAAACAGAATATCTTTGGTCGTCCTCCGACCACCAGTGCTGGTCTTGATCAAAAGATTCTTGGTCAAAAGATCCCTCGGCGGAAGCTGCGTTAGATGGCTTTATTTCACATGTTTGTGAATAAGCTGGCAGGGATGCGTTGGCGTGTTGAGCATAACAGGATCGCAGCGACAGTGGAACCCTGGCGATCTTCTGCACGACAGGCGGTGCCCCATGTTTGGACATGGAAAACACAAACTGGATGCCTCGTTACAACAAGTTTTTCTCGCACTAAAACACTGATGGACTTACATCAAGCCAATGGTACACCCTTGCGCTCTTATACTCAGTGCTAAAGTGCATCCAGTTATCTTCAGAATGGTCCTGGCAGGTGGGTAATACCAAGTCGATATTCAGCGTCATGCCCTCGGATGTCGCGGGTTTGTCCTCGCACTCCGAAAGAACCACACTCTCTTGTACACCAAAGCTGCTCTTTTCTGAAAGGTGGTCATCATCTTCACCAAACCTATAGGGCGGCAAAGTGGGTACAAAATCTTCAGCCGCTTCATATAAGAGTCTCCTCTTGAAAGGCCCAAGGCAGGAAACCAGACCATCTTTTCGGAGGAACTGAACGTTCTCTGAAATATAGATTTGCAACCCATGGAACCTCGAATTGGCCAGCTCGGCAAAAGACACGCTCACAGGTAATATATGACAGAGAGGTGCGCCTCTTCTCGACATGAGGATGTCGCATCGAAGCAAACGCTTCCAGGCGCGAGCAATGTAAACCGGCTCTGCATCCTCCACGAAGTCCTCTGCCGGACAATGGATGGCAGCGATCGGCATGTTATGGACGATGTTATGCCTGAAATGCCCGGGGAATTCTAGGCATGCCCGAACATTATATCGAACATGGCTTCGCCGTACATTAACAGATTCCGGCAACTGAGGGGGCAATATCATTTCGAAGTTGTAAGTATAGGTACCGGGAGACAGTAGCTGATAATCTGGCGCGGCGGTACTTTTGCATCTCGAACATAACTTGTTCGTGATGGTGCCCCACAATCCGCATTTTTGGCGCGATGTATTGCATTCCGTACTACCCGTTTCCAACATTCCTAGATTTTCCTGATCAGCGTGGTGTTGGGGTCCGGTCCCTGAGATGGCCGGACCGAACACCGTCAGCGTACGATCTGTGATGGTCTTCGAATCGTGAAGACCTACGTTCTGTTAGACAATTCTCTGGCGTCTTTGTCGTAGAGCGGTTCCTTCAACTGCATCTTGGGTTTTCTTACCATGTGGCCAGTGTACATGAGAAACCCCGTGAAAGTTGACTGTTAATCTCTTCACCATTAATGTCTCCTTCACCTTCAGCTCACAAGAACCCCTCAAGACAGCGGGTTTATGTGTGTATGTAGGTATGAACACCGCAGGCTCGGTGAGATTGATAGTGAGCTCAGGCTCACTGGACTTCGTCCGGGCCATATGGTCGGAGGTGTGTAGCGATGACTGCAGCATCATGAAATGGATGAGATGAGAATGCTTGAATCAGCGAAAACCAAATTACCTAGGAGGACATCGTCTGTAAATAGTGGTCGGAGTGGCAGTACAGCTTGCAGCTTTAAAAAACAATGCTCAATGCTGTTGGGGACTTGCGCATATGACCTGCCCAAATCTAGACCCAAGTCCAGACTTTAGATTGCATCAAAAGATATCTGCCGCGGAGACTCTGCATATCAGAAAACCAAGAATTACATGTTAGCATCTGGGAGGGCCCACTTGACTTCAACTAGACGTTTAGTCGGCCCGGGTACCACGGCCGAGGGATCTCAAACGGGCACATCTATTACGACCCAAGGTATGACAGGCAAATGACCTTTCATTGCGATCGGATGATTCGATACCTTAATTATTTTCTGTGTCCAATTCATTGGGACGAACTGTCTACTTTGCTATTGTCAACGCGTCCCTCAGTTGGGAGTGATGTCACGATAGTCAGGGGTGTGCAATGTGACTTTTAGTTATTCGACCGCAGGAATCCTGTTGTGGCGATCAGGCGATGATAGAGCTAAGGTAAGGAAGTACTGAAATGCTCTATAGTTCAGACATTCCAGAAGGCAAGGGACCCACCGACTCTTATCTGGACCCCGTTCGACTTTTGCTCATCCTCTATGAACACGTTCGAGTTTTAGTCAGGTGAGAGCAGAAGATTTGCCTGGCAGGTGACCTGGCAGAAAAGAAAAGGTCCATTGTTGTAAGACGTTGATTGTTAGAGCGGTTGAGTGGCGTGAGAGCATCCCTGTCATAGGATTGGCATACTACTATCTCCCGTCTAGGATTTAGGCCCTGAATGTTATTTTGAATTACAGGACAGTGACATCAATGTATATTGCCATTACGAAGCATGAAAAGCATATGAAGAATGAATCCCTTGGGTTCTATAATTGGTTAGTATTCCCTTTCCCTTCTTTTATAGTGGAGGATTAATATTATACTTTCGTTGTGCATATTCAGTATGGGTGCCTCGTAGATCAGGAGGCACAGTATTGAAAAAATTCGCGACGCTAAGTGGAGACAGTCTAGCTTGGCCTTACTCACTAAAAAATTATTCAATTGTATGACTGATGAGGCGACATATACAGTACACTAGAAGATCAGGATTTTCGGCAATTTCTTGCGCCATTAAGATAGCCGCTTTACCCGGTTCTTATCAACCTATAAATAGAGAATTTAGTGGAATATCATAAGAAAAATTCTTATCTTCCAGTGATCTAGAAGATCGCAAAAACGTTCTAATTTATCACGGGATCTTTCTAGGGTATCGCGGCATCAAAATGCCTCACTCTTCTAGGTAGACATAGAATTTATACGGACCCCTAATTTCCTGGAAGCACATTTCTTTTTTTTCGGACGGGGATTTATTATCAATCAAGCAACTTACATTCCACTCTTACGGCTCAAGACCCACTTATCGGTTGCTTATTTCGATTTGAGTATATAGGGCGTTGATCAAAACATCACCTGACGCTGTGAACTGCTTTCCCTTACTTCATCTAAGTATGCCTTCTTTGAATAGGTGAGGGTAGTTCGCCAGATCAACTCACCCTGTTAAGGGATTCGCACGCTTTCAGATGTCGATCCCGTAGGTATATCTTCTGGGGTTTAGAGTTCAAGTCAAGCATGAACATCCTTTACCGTATGCAAATGCAAGCACGAGAATCGCTATGAAAACGGTTCCTACATCAATGTGCGCTGTCAGAAACCTCAGATCCGGATTTTATCAATTGCCAGGCAAAGAGTAATCAAAGTATTCCAGTATCTTGAACAGAGCAGGGGGTCCTTAACAAACGAAGAGCCACCATGACAGATTAATATGAAACCAATCATTAAATAGGATTTATCTTACTCAGGAAATAGACAGAACGAAAAGACTAAGCTACATCTGAACGGTTGAGGAAGGGGTATGCTAAAGCTACGAAGCTATGACTCAGGAGTCCAGATATATAACAGCGATCAGCGAGGCCTCCAGGCACTTACAGCCGCAACCAATAATTTCTCCAGGCCCTTTCCGAATAAGAAGTGTTTCTTGTTGGCGATCAGCACTTCGTTGAGTCATAATGATACGAACAACCACATTAGCTTCAGTGTGTGTGGGGGAAGAATGTACATTGGTTAATGGTCCTCAACTAGGTACGGGGTAGGTAGCATTCCAATCCTCCTTGCTTGATCTCCACTTAGAAAAACAAACATTGACTCTTTGGCCAACAAGAGATCTTCATATCTTTTTGGCTGTCTGCATCCTTCTATGCTTATAAGTCCTGAGACCATGAAAGGGAGGCGTGATTCTGATGCTTAGATGCTTACACCCAATCACAAAAAAGAAAAGCTCATTGACTGTAGGAGCATCCTCAGTATGAGATTACAGAGCCACGGGAGACACGACCTCTAGACCATTATAAAGCCATTCATTTTCTTTGCGATTTGCCTGAAAGGGCCATCCTTAACACGGACACATTATATATTTCAGAGCGGTTTCCTGGGGTAGATAGCCATTCAGGCGAACAAATGGATTGAACTGTGAGTTACTTACTACAAAATATCAGAAGCTATCATTGAGGCATGTCGGGTCGTTTATTGTGGCGTGGAAAGCTTAAGGAATCCTTCCTGCTTTTACACTCCCTGCGAAAGGTCTCAAAAAGGAGAGACTTGAAATGGCTGATACTGTCATAGGCCATGAAGCACTGAATCAAGTAGAAGAATCTAATTGAAACGAGCAAGGATTCATTGCCTCTAGCGGGATTACAGCTACAAATCTCCACAACCCTATGACGTAGCAGCAGTGGTGGATAACCCATGAAAAAGAAACTTAGAAATTTCAAAGCGCACATAAAGGAAGCCTCTGATTGCACTGGCCGTGACATCATCTGTGAGACCTTCTCCAGAGCTCATACTGTCCTCCGTAGCACGGTGTTTAGGGTACCACGCTCGGCAATAGAAGCCTCTGATCCCGAAGTGCTATTTACAAATTCATGAATGAAGGGCAGATCTACCAACCTAAACTGGGTACGCTCTGCAGAATCTAATCTTAAGTTACGCTTGTTTCAAGCACCATACTGATTTTGAAAAAGGGTGTATGGGCATAATTTCCCAAGGAATACTCCAATCAAGTAATCCAGAGTCTGCTTACAAAAGTGGAAATAGATGATTTGACCGGCTCATGGATTGAATGAATTCTAATTTAGAAACTTGTTTGGGGTGCACCTTTCATGTGCATGTGCTGTGGTATCCTAGCTTTTTGGTTTGGGAAGATACTTTGTAAGACAATAAAAGCCAGAGCATTTAAATTAGGAGCTCCCTAGTCGAAGTAGTATTTCTAAAAGACAAGGAAAGGCTTTAATTGCTTTTTCTGAGCCTTGGTTGATCTATCACGAACACGGTTGGCAAACGTCAACCAGGTTAGTTGATAAGGAGTGTTATTTAGTCGAGTGACATAACCCTAACTAACCCTTCTATATGTCCCTGAAGCTGTTTCCACTCAGCACAGGTAACCCATCGGTGTTGAACGATATTTTCCTAGTCTGATGTGCGCAGATAAGCAAGAATATGTAAGTCGAGAATAGCTTATTCCAATCCGAGGAAAGGGTTTAGACAAAACCACGTCATACATATGTCCGTACAATTTCATGCTGCAGGATCTCCGCACGCGCCGAGCCGATCGGCAATCAACCATCACGCCCACATTGCCCTATGTGCCATCCTCTCAAGTGGAATGAAGAGAAGAGCAAAAAACATTCAAGGAAAAATACCTATTGTTAATCTAGATCGAGTGGACTCTGTCAATCAAATAGATTATAGACCAAAGCTACCAAGGTACTAAGGACAAACTTACTACTAGTGAGGACCAGTAAACGACCTCCATACGGCAAGACTAGCAAGCCAACCAGATCACCGCCTTTCTTTCCCTTTTTCTCCCCTTCTTTCTCCGCCCCCAGTACCAACCTTCATCTTCTCTTAGACTCTTACTGGCAGTTTGCCGGGGCTCAAGAAGACATCTTGCCCGTTAGCAAAGCTTCTCCTCTCTCTCTCCGACTAACTGTCTCGCCTCCTTCCTAGAATTCCCCTCTCCCAGAGTTACCTACCGTCTGTGTAGTACCGGGTACAAAGTACACAAGACACAACACTTCGCTCACTCCCTACTCCTCTCCTTTATCGCCTGTGTTTCGTCGGTCGCATGGCCCCCTTCATCCTTCTCCCGAAATAGAACCACTCCGTTTGGTTCCTCCGTTTGGCCTGTACCTCGTTTTTACCCTTCAATTCAAACCCACTCCCGTCTCCTTTCTTTTAGCCGCGGATCGCTGGCTCATCCTCCTTCTATCCTCTCGTTTATCGTTCCTTCTTCCCCATCCCCCACTTGGCAAACAACTGTTCCGCCATCCTTGTCCCTATCAGGGTAGAATAATCAATCAATCACCCAACCTTTCCCTCGTTTAACACCCAAACCGTCGTCACTCACCCCCATCAAGCTGCCACATTCCATCATTGTTTCCTCTTACAAGTGTGAGCGGCCATCGGAGGGTGTCTAGTTTAAACATGGCCTCCAACGACGACAATTTAAAGACGGACAGTCTGCGACTTGGAGATAACAACGAGCATTCAGTCCCTACCACCGCTGTGCACTCCCAAGAATCCAATGTGCAATCAGCCTCCACTCCTGCTTCAGCCCCAGAATCGGCAGCGAACCCGCTTACTCCTGGCCATCATGAAAGTACCCCCAACCAACATATAGTGACCGAGACGTCCGACGCACAGCCTCTCGCCGGTGGCGAAAGCGCTTCTCCACCCCAACCACCAAGTGATGCGAATACTCTCCCGACTCTCAATGCATCCGCCGCTGAGTCCGGGGCCTCGGCCCCTGAGGCGCCCTCGGTGGAGCAGCCATCGCAGGAATCTGACGCGAAGGAGGAAGACCAGGGCCCGTCGCTCTTGATTACATTGCTTTTGACATCAGGTTCGCGGCATCCGTTCAAGATCGATGGAAAGTATCTCCAAACGCGGTCAGTGAATGTGGAAAACAACGATCCTTTTGCTATGAGCGTATACACGCTCAAGGAGTTGATCTGGAGGGAATGGCGACAAGGTATGTATTGGCGCAGACAGTTATGAAGGACCGGGCCGGGTGAGATCGACTTAGACTAACGTGCGCATCTAATTAGATTGGGAACCGCAACCATCATCCCCGAGTTACATTCGGCTGATCTCGTTTGGTAAATTGCTCGACGATAAAGCGCCTCTATCAGGTATGTTATATGTGTACGAAACAGAATATTACCTGGCGAGGTGCTGATTCAGTTCCAGACTCCAAATTCAGCCGTGATGCCCCCAATGTGGTGCACATGACAGTCAAACCCCAGGAACTTGTCGATGAGGAGGACGCCAAAGGCTCTAAGCCACAATACCCGCGGGAACGTGAAGCCAGTGAACGCAGCCCGGGGTGTCGCTGCATAATCCAATAAATTCATTGGCTCTTGTATTTGCACATACCAATGATGGGGATTGCACGCTTACCCAGCTCCGACGTAACCCAGCCTTCCGGTTCGGACAATGCACGTCTGTGGTCTATTAAATATCGCAAGAGGTCTTGTCTAATTGGTATACTCTTGGGCGCGATGGACTCGTTATGCTCATACCCCCATCTGTCTATCTTGTTTTGGGTTTTCCCTCTTTCATTTGTGAGCGCTTTGGCATGGCCATCGCTCTGTGGCCTTGATGCGGGATATCTACTTGGCCACTTGTGACCGTAAACAGGGACGGCGTTCCGGTTATTAGTATTTGCTCTTCCAGCACTGAGGCATTTGTGTGGTATTCCTAGTGTGTTCTGGTTCTATGGTTTTCATTTGTTTGCATAACCACTTGAGTTGCTCGACGCTGCTCTTGCCCTTCACCCCGTTCGTATATACCCTATTTCTTTGATCCTCCAAGCTGTTGTTCGTCAGCATGTGTCTACATATTAGCAGATTCTTCATATTCTTTTTTCATATTCTTTTTCATAACTAAGCACAATACTGGTTTTTCCAACCCTCCCATGATCCTCCCGTAATTGCTACATCTCCGCGTGACGAAGTCATCATGGTATCAAATTCCACGCCGACATCTCCACTACTTGACACACCCTATGAACACACCACATAGCTAAAGGTAAACGAGGTAGCGCAAGGCCTCTGGCTTCTAACCGTGTAACATGGCTCGACGGCGTACAAGAGACGTACGAACAACAGCATCGCTACACGAAAGGAGTACAGCGGCCTCCTTAAATCTGCTCCATGGCCTACTATGATCATCGACCAATACGTGTGGCCCAACTATTGGTCCATGCAACCCGTATGTCTAATTGCATCTAGTAGTATTTGCCCATCATATCATGAGTGGGCCACATTTCAAATCCTCTTGTTCACATCCCGCCTGTATCGAGAAGAAAGAATCATAACGACCCATACAATGAATTAAATAAACGAGACCAACAAAGCATAAACGGAAACCAAGAACCGGCAATCGAAACGTAGCTTAGAAATCCATCCGCAGCCTCTTCTCCATCTCGTCATGGAAAGTGGGTGGTTCTCTGAACTCGTCTCCTGTGTTGAATTAGTACATGGAGATCCGATCCTCGAGCACAAGCTCGAGCTACTATGGGGTAGAGAAATATAGGTAGGGGAGAGCGACGACGAACCTTTGAAAACATCTTCCCACCCAACTTCTGTATCCCGTCCACCGAGCACGAGAATATCCTCATGAACATTGCCGGCCTTTGCACCTCCCAGCACGGCCGGCCGGAACGATCCATCCCGCACTAGCTTCAGTTCCATGCCACGGCGGATAGGTTCCGCAATGCCGTATGCCCGACGCAGGGACTCCATCTTCATTGCATCCTGCGTTTGGCGCCAGGCGATCAGACGGGCTTCGAGGGGGTGTGCGGAGGCGGGGATTTCGGATTGAGAGGAGGGAGGACCCCGGGAGGCGGGGAGGGTGATGTTGTCGCGGAGAGTGTCGGGGAGACCGGGGGCTGAGGGGGCGCCTTTTGAGGGGTGCGGGAGGGAGATGGGGATGTTTTGACGGGTGCTTGTGTTGGTTGTTTGGGTGCGGTAGTTCGTGGCTGGGGCGATGCGGAGAGACTTTTTTTCTTTCGTTAGCTGGGTTGCTTTACTTGGATGAGTTGTTGTATGTAGTTCTGGGATGGTGGTGGATGGGATGAGGATGTACCATTGTGGTGGATTTGAGCGTGAGATTTAATATATTATCGGGTTGATTTATCGAGACGTGAGAAATACCAGTGTCGATGGTATATGGTGGAGGAAGATGGGGAGGTTTCAAGATGGAAGCCGAACTGAAAGCGCAGTGGAGGTTAGACAGATACCGAAGCTCTGACGATAGACCTGACAAGGCAACGGTAGGATAGCGCGTCCACAGCTCCTCCGGTACACCTTAACTACCACCTCCGCAAATCCTATCTTCAGTAAAGTAAGCAAGACAGTCACGTGAGCGCTATCGCAAATTATCCCCGATCAATTATACCAGAACCTCCGAGAGGAAAAGGAAGGCAACAACATCACCACGCTTCTCACACGCCATGCCACCATTCGTCTCCTCTCTCACCCTCCGCACGCTGCGGACCATCATCCAGCGTCCCGCGTTCACTGCTATCGCCGCCCCCAAGCCCTCATACTCTATCCCCCGGTTCCAGCCCGTCCTCCGCACACCCACGGCTGTCGCAGCCGCTACTACTCCTAGTCTTGCTATCCGCCAGTTCTCGACTTCCCCGTTTCGCCAGGCTACCTACAACCAAGTTCGTCGCGGATGCCGTGTTGCTCAGCGGGCTCGTCGTGCCCGGTCCCCTGCGCTGAAGGACAGGCCTGAGATGAAGGGTGTGTGCTTGAAGACGGGTATCACGAAGCCAAAGAAGCCCAACTCCGGTGAGAGGAAGACGGCAAGAGTGCGTTTGAGTAGTGGCAAGGTGGTTACGGCTTATATTCCTGGTGAAGGTTTGTCTTCCTATTCTGGTGGTACCTTAGGGGTTTGATGCTGACTTGGATGATTTGTAGGCCATAACGTGCAGCAGCACAGTGTTGTTCTTGTTCGTGGTGGACGTGCTCAGGATTGTCCTGGTGTGAAGTATCATTTGGTCCGTGGTGCTATGGATCTGGTATGTCGCCCTTTTCTTTATCTGTGTTTGGTAGATTGAGTGATGTGGGTACTGACATCGTCGTAGGGTGGTGTTGCCAATCGGTTGACCAGCAGATCGAAATATGGAACTAAGAAGCCGAAGAGGGATTAATTGATTGAGGCTGGAGAGATACCCTGACTAGGCAGATGGGCGAGAAGCCAATGTTCGAATGCTTGTATTGTACTATCTACTTGGTTTTGTCAAACTGACTGTTATCGTCATCATTATAAAATAGCTATGTACATTTATGATGGAACTTTTATATTGAACGGGTTGTTTTCGCTTTTCTCCCAAGTCAAAACATAATGGTAATTGCCCTGCTGTAACCTTAGCGCTCCATGAATATGCACAATCACTCCCTAAAAGCAAGTAAAGAATCCTTACAATAAGACACATGACACCGCAGAAACACGAAGATAAAGGAAAAAGAGGAAGAAAAACAGGGCCGAAATGGCCAATGCCCAGCATCTACAGTTGGAACAAAGTGGGCACATGGTGCTTCTTATCGTTTAAGATAGGTCTCCCGCATGGCTGCGGTTCGCTCAAGTACATAAAGTCCGCCATGGACCGCTCGCGCTCGAGCCTTGTTGCTGATTGCAAGGACAAGACTGCCAACAATGGCTATCGAGAGCAAGACTTTCACGAGAACGGGTAGTCAACTCTCATCCTCGTAGCCCGCGGGCTTTTTCATGTTATTAATATGGAAGAAGCGGGAAGTGCCTGGTTGGAGAAATGAGTTAGTAACTGCCCCCAAATAGCAGTGGGGATCAACTTACAGGAATAACCTTTCCAGTCAAAGTTGTCGCTGGGGTTGCAGTGGCATTTGAGATCCAGTCTCAATTGCTCACCCGTCGGACAGTGGGTGAAGGGGATATGGTAGTAGGCGATTTCATTGAAGAAGTGGATCTGTTCCTTTTCCAAGAGCAGACCAGCAGCAATAGAGTGCACTGGAGCATCGCCCCATCTTTCATAGAAGAAGCCACCATCGCGGTCAAGAGATTCGAAGTAATCCAGATATTCCTTAGATCTGAGCCAGTCCAAGTGTCCGATTTCGAAATTCGACCACTGCCCACAAGATTCTGGTTAGTGAAGCTCACTTAAGTTTGAGTAAACGAGGAACTTACGAAATGGCACTTGTTGTATGTTTTTCCACCGTCGTCGCTTAGGAAGTCCATTGAGTTCCCTTTCGCAATATGTTCAGGGTGATTGTCCATGAACTTCTTCACGCTATCCCAGAGGGTAGGAATAGTATCGAAATATTCATACAGACTAAGAACGAAGCTATACTTCTTGTTGTTTTCCTTCATGAATCGGAAAGGGTCGAAGCTGATGTCACAGAACAATTCAATGCTGGGCTCCACGCGCCAATAGTACTCGTAGTTCAGCATCAAAGGGTGCCGGAAGAAGAATCCGGACTCGTAACGGCACATGTGTCGGTAACTCTCGGAATCACCGTAAATGATTTTCCTTTGGCCCATGTCCTCACGCACCTTTTTCGCTTTCTCTTGATCAATCCACTCAGGATACGACCAATGTTCCTTTGGAATAACGCCATAATGAGTGGTACCGGAAACCAGGGCCGTGGTGATCTTTTTGAATTCGTCATCAAACTCCTTGTCATTTAGGAATACCCAATCATAATGGTAGTTGTGATTGAAGCGATCTTCGACACTCCGGATCGACTTCGCAATATCCCAAACATCCGAATTGCGCGCCAACGTGACAAACGTAGCATTGACCCGTCCACCCTGAGGGATGCTCACGCTCCCCGAAGCGTCATTGGTATGTTCATTCGGGGTAGCAGCATTGCTATGAGAGGACGGGGAAGAGGCAGAGTTATCTTTGTAGCTGGACGGATTCAACTTCGAGCCGATAGTTTCGGGGATTGGGATTGCGCTTCTGGAGAGGAAAAAGAAAACTGCCAAACCCTATATTGGAATCATAGGTTAGCCACTAGTGTGGAAGAGCATGGGAAAGGAGCCACTAACCGCAGCCGCGAAGAGAAGATATCGAATGTATTTCACCGGTCCCGAGGACATGATTGCAAGGTGTCCCTACCGTGCCAGACACGGGACTCGAACAACTGGGTGAAGTTTGAAAATGGGTGCCTAGCTTTCTATACGGGAACGGGCAGATCGGAAAGCAAGGAGGCAAGTACCAGGATCAAACGAATGACAAGAACAGGTGAGCGGAAGCAGATGTTAAAAAAGCCAAGAGATTAAGTGTCGTCAATTAGAAACAGGGCTGTATAAGTGAGTCGTCTGACTACAGGTTGGTACCCGGAGCGACGACGAAGGCGACAGCTGAAGTCTAGCAATGAGACAAGGGGAGAGACCCTTTCTGGAAGAAATTATTCTCCAGTTAGAGAGGAAATTGCACGATCCCCACCCTTTGCAGGAATACCGTCGGGGTCGCGAGCCAATATGCCGAGAAGTTAGTTTCACAAGGAAACGAGGTAGAATTGGTTACAGGAAGTAGGATCCTTTTGTTCGAGATCATGATTTAGTTGGCAGTGGAATGGCAACGTAATGTACTCTACCATCATTGGCTAAGACTCCCTCCCCTATTAGGAGTGCCAATAAGTTTGATTGCCCAGTGGAATAGACATTCTGGTCATTAACGAGGAGAGTGTTACACGACCCTCAGTGTGCCAGGCAAGAGAAAGAGGGATTCATTCTATTTAATTTTGTAGTTGATACATATACATAGGTTGTTTCGTCTTGTGTGGTGTGTTGAATGGGGCCATGGCCACTCTAAGGCGACGATCTATTCCTGCCTGGGGTTTGGGGCAGCAGCTGGCTGCTGGGCTTAATGAGAGTCAGATCAACCTCATGACGATAACAGCAATAACAAGTGAGGTTACAAATGTCTTTGCATTCACTAGATACCAGAAGACCATAGCAAAGGGAATGTATACTTTGATAGCTGTCCTTCGAAACATAGCTTCATTCCATGATTTATTGTGTAACAGGTATATATCGATACCTTAGGCATCAATCCCACCCCGGCACTAACCTGGAGTCGGTAAGCGGGTGATATCAGACCGGAAGTCGACTTCATCCCGCACCACATTTATGCGGCGGTAAATCTCGCTCCCCTGTTACCTCGTCTCCGTGCATCCACATCCCGCCGAAGATGTCCTTCTTCGGCTTTGATACGACTCTCCCAAGGGATCGAGCCCCCGGGGGTGGACAGAGGGGTATTTTTGATACTCCTGACCCGTTTGCCGAAGTCGCTCGCGCCAGGTTGGCTGGACATTTCCAGAACAATGATGATGATGATGTGTAAGACTGCCCGTCTTGATGTCGCCTTCAGTCGACCAGTTTATCCATGCAGGAAACATAACGTATTTACTGATGGTTTCTTATTCGGTCTGCAGGATTGATTTCGAGGATACGTATGATGGTCTGGGAGATCAACTCGACGACGATCAGGATGCGTTCAACGACGACACGTTCGGCGGGGACATGGGCACTGGCGCTGTCAGTAAGGACTTTGACTTCTTCGGAAAGACCGCCCAGGTTGCCGATGTCATTGGAGAAGAGCAAGTCCGCTACAGCCTACAAAAGCCTCAGGCTTCTGCTGCAGCTCCTGTCGCCGAGGTCCCCGTTGCAACAAGTACTGTGGCCCAGAAGCCCAAGCGCACCGGATACGAGAAGTATTCAGACCCGGACTATATTCCTGATCTTCAGGCAAAATCCAGCGTTTGGAATCTACAGAAGAAGCCCGAGCCCGCCCCCGCCCCCGCCCCCGCGGTTCAGCCGGTAGCCCAGCCAGTAGCCCAGCCAGCGATGCAAGCCAGGAAGATGCTGAGTCTGGAGGAAGTGGAAGCGCAGTTGCGTCACCAGGGCCCCGGGCCTGCCCCGGGTTTGCCCCCAGGTTCTCTTCCCCACTCGATGGCAGAGGCACTCCATCATCTGCAGCGACCTCAGCAAATCCCTGGTTTCCCGGACGGTTTCCCCCAGTTACCTCCTGAATTCCTACAGGCGCAGTTTGCTAAAGGTGTTCCACCTGCGCAGATGTTGCACCACCCACAGATGGTTCCTGAGCCATACCCCCCCCCTAACTTGCCATTGCATCTTCTGCAGAACGCCAATCTCCCTCCTCAGCACATGGTTCACCCTCAGCATCAAGCTCCCCCACGCGGGCAGCGGACCCAGCAGCAACAGCAGCAGCAGCAGCAGCAGCAGCAGCAACAGGCACCGCCACCGATGCCCCAGAATGGACCTCAAGGTCCAAGGGGGACGAATGGCTCTCTGCCGTTGATCACGAACCCTCAGCAACTGTTGCAGCTGACTGAAGAGCAGCGTGTAGCGTACTTGATGGAAGATGCAAAGCGTGCGAAACGCAACCACAAGATCTTCCTTCTCTCCAAGGGCAATGGGCTGATGACCCCGCAAGATAAGAACTTCATTACACGCATCCAGCTCCAGCAACTAGTCGCAGCTGCGGGCAACGTCGCAGACGCGGATTCAGAAGCTGTCTTGGCCGAGGACTTTTATTATCAGGTTTACAGCCAGATCCGAGGCGCGCCCAGACAGCACCCGCATCAGCCTCTTGGTCATTTTGCGCAAACATACCTTCTGCAGACAGGCAATCGTCTTGGCGGTCATGGATCCCGACGGCAGGCACAGAGTGCAGACAACCATATGCAGAGAATGCAGCAGCAGGTCCAACGCGCAGTTGAAGCCGCCAAAGCGAAACCGAAGAACAAACAACTTATTATTGAAGGAAGCTTGGGCAAGATCTCTTTCAGTAATGCGAAGACGCCCAAGCCAATGCTCAATATCAAGCGCCCGGAGACTTCTGACGGAGCTAAGGCGGCTAAGAAGCCACATACCGACCTCAGTCTGAGTGACCGGAAGTCTATCTTGACCAATATCGAGAACGTATATGGCACGTTAATGGAGTTGGAGGATATGGAGCGCACAATGCCTCCACCACCGAACGAAGACGATGCCGAGGCCATTCAAGAGCACATGGAATGGCGACAGAAGGTTCGCTCACTCAATCAGAAGTTGTGGCAGGCGCTCAAGGTTATGGAGCCGATTGTTCCCAACACGAACACTCCACACCCCTTCATTGCGTTCCTTTCGTACCCTAAAGGCAAAAAGGCTATTCCGCGCATTTTCCGTCATATTGATCAGGAACAGCGAGTTACCATCCTTACTATGATTGTTGTGCATCTGGATAGCCTGGACGTGGTTCGACAAGGACAGCCAGCGCCCGGTGAATCGCAGCCTTCTCTAGCCGTGAGAGAAGCTATCGATCTCTTCTCGCAAGCAGTCATGCCCAGTCTACTAGGTTATGTTAATGAAGCCCCGTTCAACATCATTATTGGTCTCTTGGGCCTGGTCATCGCGCAAACTCATGTACACATGGTCGCCAAGACTCGCATTGGGCTGGGCATCTTGACCATGCTACTCAGCCGTGCAGAGATTGTGAAGGAAGCTGGCCAGGCCGCCGAACGGGACTGGCAACAGTGGGTGGAAAAGTTCAACGTCTTGTTTGATACTCTTGAACCTACTTTTGGAGATATCTTCCCTGGCTCTATCAATGCAGGCGACGATATGTATGTGTGGCAATTCTTGGCTGCAGTAGGTATTGGAGCTAGCCCCGAGCAACAGCAGCGCTTGGTCATCGCGGTGAAGTAAGTCAACTTTTGTCGTCCTCTATCCTCTGAGCTCAATACTACTTGTGGGTTTAAAATCCTCCAGGGAGCAGTGCTAACAGTTCTATAGGGATCGTGTCATGGAAACGGTGGCATATAGCAAGACTCTTCCTGCGGACATGGCTAGCCAACGGCTTGGAAATGTCAACCTCTTCATGCGTGCCATTGGTCTCGATGTCGAACTTCTCGGCTAGAGGAAACCTGGCCCTGCATATCTATCAACCGTGGAGCGCTAGTACTTCTAGGGCACGTCAGAGATACGACTCGATGCGAAGAAAGCAAATCATTTAAAGTAATTAACTGGTGCTTGCACCAGCCTGGGTAGGACTCTGCTCCCCCAGACGTGAGTTCCTACCCCCGGTTTTCCATTCTTAGCTTGTGAACCCGGAGATTGGGGGAGTGAATGACCGGGTGAAGGAAGATTAATTACCCTTTGGCTGAGAAGACCAATGGACCAGGGCACCGTTTGGTTAAATGAAAGATGTGAAAGGATTATGATCAACTCAACGGCAGTTTGATGACACTAGTAATTGTGAGCGAAAGGGCATCCGACAAGATGTCCTCAGATGAAGTTCTCTCTACGGTCTATTGCGGCGATGCCGGATATCCATGTTTGTTTTTATTCTTTGAATGTACATTTTTTTTTTTTTCCTAGTTCAAGCCCAAACCAGCAGACAAAAAAGAGTAAAAGTTAGAAATCAAGTCTCAAGAAGCGGTGCAATCAGCAGAAAGCCCGAAGACGTCGGGTAATACGTAGCATCTACCACACATAGTATGAGAGGTGGGATGGTGGGGGTATTCGAAGAATGATGTCTTGAAAACTGTGCCGTTTAAGTACGTAGTGTTTTGGACTGATGTGTCTATAAAACTACTAGTCTCTATATAGAGGACGATGGCACTGGTAATTGCAAGGATAAATAGCTTCATGTCATTCAGTTGCAGAACCGGAATCGACAGGATGTTAAATGTCTCACCCATCTAACATTGACAACATTTTCTAGGCAAAGGTCCAAACGAACTGACCGGGCAACACTCGGCACGAACTTCGAATGCCAATGCCTTATAATTGACTGATATTAACCGGTTGGACCCTTGGGTCATCTTTGTAGGGGCTGGTTTAGTCCACCGATAAAGTGGAACTTGACCCGCTGGGCCGTAGAACCACTGGATAAAAGAGAAGCAAGGTCGAGAGACATCTGGCCGATGGGTTTCCTTCGGCTTCGCTCGTTCCATCTTCTAAGAACTCCAGAGTCCAGATGCCAGATATTATCCGACAAGGCAAACCGATAGCCTTGCCGAATGGCCCGTTCTTAACCGGGGAAGGCCCCTAGTCTGCGTTGCCGTGCCCGATCGAATGATGCCGAGTGAACACCATATGGGGTGATATGGGATGACTTTCAGCTTTCCCACAGGGTTCGATTGACATATCGACGGTGTCGCGGCTTACCGGATTTTGTTCAAAGTATAGACTCTGCGACTAAACCTATTTTGCGTATGCGCAAGTATGGATTAAGGACATGGGGCCTCCCAGTCAGTGGATGGTGGGATGAATGGACGGATAGATAGGCTGCATGCACGTGTGGAAAATAAACGGTACGCAAGCCATACCACCTGTAAAATTGAAGGGTCGATCGTCACCCAAGAAGGTTGTTAGAGCTTGAAGATGAATTACGTGGTGCCTGGGACTGGACCGCAGATCGTTCAGGAAGGCAAATTAAAGATGATCAATAGGGGTTCTCATTAGATGAAACAATTCCAGTCAAGAGAAAAAATCATCAATTGAACACTCCCTAAAACACATCTGATACCGTTCTATAGAGGTGAAGATTACATGCAAAAACAGGTGAGAAACACAGAGAGAGAGAGAGAGAGAGAGAGAGAGTCGGACCAAAATTACATGTTGCGGTACCTTACGGAGGGAAGTGGTGTACTCTGTATGAAAATGAAATCCACCCGAACGCATGCCCCTCCGCAATTGTCCTCCTCCCCCACCAATCCCAATTGCGGTGCCCCCTTAAATATCCCGTGGCTGCCAGCGCTCGTCGGGTTTGTGTTTCTTTCTTTTTCTTCTTTTCCTCTCCAGACAACCCTTCCTCTCTGATCACTCTTTCTTCCCTTCAACTCTTGTCTTCAATTCAATCGCATCTGTCATCATGCCTTCCGGTTCGGTTCTTGTCACTGGGTAAGATATCCCTCCCTGATCGGGATAGTATACCCCACCATAGGTTCAATGGACTGACAGCGCAACCATACAGTGGAACGGGCTACATTGGCTCTTTCACCGCCCTTGCTCTTCTTGAGGCTGGCTACAAGGTCGTCGTCGCCGACAACCTCTACAACTCCTCCGCCGAGGCTCTCCGTCGCATTGAGTTGATCTCCGGCAAGAAGGCTGAGTTCGCTCAGGTCGATGTCACCGACGAGGCAGCTTTCGACAAGGTTTTCGAGGCTCACCCCGACATTGACAGCGTCATTCACTTCGCTGCCCTGAAGGTGTGCATGCCCAGTTCCACGGATATATCCCACTTACTTACACCTGCGCTTTGGTACTTAGGCCGTCGGCGAGTCTGGTGAGAAGCCTCTGGACTACTACCATGTCAACGTTTACGGAACTCTCAACCTTTTGCGTTCTATGGTCCGCCACAATGTCTACAACATTGTCTTCTCTAGCTCGGCCACCGTCTATGGAGATGCTACCCGCTTCCCCAACATGATCCCCATCCCTGAGGAGTGCCCTCTGGGCCCTACCAACCCCTACGGTAACACTAAGTTCGCCGTCGAGACCGCCATCACCGATGTCATCAACGCCCAGCGTAACAACGCTGCTAAGGCCGGAAATCAGGAAGAGAGCCAGAAGTGGAACGGTGCTTTGCTGCGCTACTTCAACCCCGCTGGTGCTCACCCCAGTGGCATCATGGGTGAAGACCCTCAGGGTGTTCCTTACAACTTGCTTCCCCTTCTTGCCCAGGTCGCTACTGGCAAGCGCGAGAAGCTCCTTGTGTTCGGTGACGGTATGTCTTTATTTCCCTTCGTATCCAGAAGAAAACCATGACTCACTTGTCCGGCGCTAGACTACAAGTCCCACGACGGCACTGCCATCCGTGACTACATTCACATCCTCGACCTTGCCGATGGTCACCTGAAGGCTCTCAACTACCTGCGCGCGAACAACCCCGGTGTCCGTGCCTGGAACTTGGGTACTGGCAGGGGCAGCACTGTCTACGAGATGATCCGTGCCTTCTCCGCCTCCGTTGGCCGCGACCTCCCCTACGAGGTTGCTCCCCGCCGTGCTGGTGACGTCCTTAACCTCACCGCTAACCCCACCCGCGCCAACACCGAGCTTGGCTGGAAGGCTGAGCGCACTCTCGAGCAGGCTTGCGACGACCTCTGGCGCTGGACCAAGAACAACCCTCAGGGCTACCGCCAGGAGCCCCCTGCTGAGCTGCTGGAACAGCTGAAGAAATAAATTACTATAATCTAAGGAAATGATCTACCGGCGTATGCTTGGATCTATGATGCGAAGGTGGATGGATCATCGAAATCGCCCCTCGATAGACACAAAAGCCCTGTAGATTGGATGAGACGAATTTCTTTTCTTGTTTCTTTTGTTGAGCCACATATCTTTGCTTAACTGAATAATTTGCTATTATGTGCTCCTTCATGATTTCAAAAATATAGCACAAGTACACTCATAGATATAGAAGGCAATGAGAAATTACCAATTGCTTTTTGCAGCTCTATGAATTCTTTCGTTTCAACAGATTTTAGTGTACAGTCTATTTGTTAGCTTTTCGGCTCCTTCGCGATCCTGGAGTCTGCTCTTTCGCTGCAGGTTTAGAGCTGGAAGAGCCATTGTTCTTCTGGTTTTCCTTCTCCTGCTGCTCCTTGTTGGCCAGTGCCCTTTTCACGGCACTTTTCTTCTCCTTGAGTTCAATTTGCGCTTCGCTGAATTGCCATAGCAGTTTCCCAGCCTCTTCATCCCTGACATCTTTGCGAGCAAAATCCACCTCCTGACACTCCTTGATCATCCATCCACCGGTGCCACGGCCGTATCTAGCCTCCATGGCAGCATACAGGATACTCTGAGCGCCCTGCTGCGGCGACTTCAGGACCAACCACCACAAAGGCCAGGTAATGAGATAGAGAAGAAGCCCCCAAAGCGACCCACCCGTCAACCAGCGACGGGTACCCGGAGTGCGGCTAAAGCCGGGGTCAACAACGATCACACGCGTACACGGAGGCATCTTATCAGGTCGTTCATAAGCATTCAAGTGTTTCTGGAAGGACTGGGCGAAAGACATCAACGCAAGCTTGCTCGCTCCAAACAGGCTGGTTTTGGACTTCTTCGACCCAGCCCCTGCTTTCTTCACATTCTTGCCATTTTTCGTTCCCCGTGGCGCCGAAGCATCGGGCGTACAAGCTGCCTCTATCTGCTTAGGGTCAATTTTGGCTCCAATGTAACTCGAACATGTTGTGAAAATGACCCGCACGTCACGATGAGGCGGCTGGGCCCTCAACGCCGGACTGAGGATGCTCAACAAGTGGAAATTGGCGAGGTAATTCACCTGCCATTCTTCGTCGAGTCCATCTACGGTCAGCTTTCGACTGGCAGATGAAGGTGCGGCCGTGTTTCCGCACAGGATGATCATGTCCAGTCGGCGCGGAGGGACGTTATCGATCCATTTTGTCGCGAATGTGCGAATCGAGTGTAGTGAGGACAAATCCACCTGCTCGGCGTAGATGAGTCGATTCTTCGTCGACTTTCGGAGATCCTCGATGTAATCAACCAGGAAAACGTCCGAGGGAGCATGTTGTGTGAGGAGGATGATCTGGGCACCGCGGGACGCAAGTTCGTGGACGACGCTGGCTCCTATTCCTGATGTTCCACCCTATAGAACCCCATATTAGATACTTTGACTCCAATATACCAGAAGCTAACCAAAACAGATAGAGCATACCGTAACCATCACAACCTTAGAATGCATCAACCGCTCCGATCCATTTCGGGCACCCCCAAAATAATACTTCAAAGCGGCAACCAACAGCACCCATGGCACGATCTTTAAAACTGTCCACGCATAGGGAATAGAGGAGATACCCTCTTGGAACCCCTGAGCAATCAAGGGAATCGGCATTGTGATGGTTAAATCCGCATCCAAACAAACAAGGGCAGGTACCGACAAGTAAAAAGGACAATCCAATTATGGACAGAAAGCTGCTACTAAAGATAGGATCAAATGCAGGGCCCAGACCACAAACAAGCTCACCGCCCAGTCTACCACCATCTGCTTCGTCAGCGGTATGGACCCACTTAAGCTAGCGCGTCGATAAATTAGAATAACGCCCGCCAACAATTAAGTCATTGAAATTAAACACATTAACCTCCCATTAAACAAGACATGACCTCCAACGAAGCCACTGACGAAGATTACTTCCTCCCGGTAGAAAGCCAACGACCCTTCGGCGCCGGAATCCGTCGCAAGAAAGTCCAGTTCGTGCGGTCCTCGGAACATGAACTTAATACTACCTCTGCGCCGGCGGCGCAACCTGCCTCCTCAGGGACCAGTATAGCGAATAAGTATCTGTCGATTGTTATGCCGAAGGAGAAGCAGGTTTCTGAGCCTGGTACGCCCGTTGAACGTGTATCTAGGGATGTTGGAAATCGTGATGCGGAGGTGCAGTCGGCTCCGGCTTCGCCTTCTGCCATTCCTCGTTGCGATGTGTGTAGTCTTCCGATTGATGGGGATGAGTCGGGACATGGGGCTGTTATGGCCAGTGACCGGCCGCATGAGGCGTCGCTGGCACACCAGGTGTGTTTGTCGCATTCACATCCGCCATCGCATTTGGATCGGACGAGGCATGGGCTGAGGTATTTGGCTGCTTATGGGTGGGATCCGGATAGTCGGTTGGGATTGGGGGTTTCTGGGCGAGAGGGGATCCGGGAGCCGTTAAAGGGGCGGTTGAAGGTTGATACCGTTGGTTTGGGGGCTGAGGGTGATGATGAGGCGAAGGAGAGTGGTAAGGGTAAGAGTCGGGTGGTTGAGAGGCCGGCTAAGGTGCAGAAGTTGAATGCGAAGGAGGTAAGGAAGGGATACTTGGATGCTAGGAAGAGGGGGGAGAAGTTGCGAGAACAGTTTTTCCAAAGTGATGATGTTTTAAAGTATCTGGGGCAGTAGTGGTTAGGACGGGTTTGGCGTTTGGCGTGATTGCAAGATACCCCCTTTATATTTATCTCTTTTCCTTTACTTGGGTGTGCTGGATTTTCGGCACTGGAGAGTATGTTTCAGATGAATACATGCATTAACTACATACATGGACAGAAGATTATATCAAAGAGAAGATAGAACAGGATACAAGAACATATCCATTTAGCGCCGTGGCGCCTTCGGTGCTCAAAATAAAACCCGATAGATTGGTATCACTGACGCTGTAGTAGAAAGACATTGGTATAGACTTCAAACGGCTATAGCTGCCGGTAGTCAATAAGAGTGTTATTATTCTTGAAGTAATTCTGAGAGAAGGTGGAGGCACTATGACCGCCTAAAGAAGTGATGGTGCTTCTTTTCCTTCTTCTCCTTATGTGGCTTGGCGTTGCTTGGTGCAGGTGCTGCACCATTTTGAGAATTGGATCCTAGGGACATGGCGCCCATAGCCGCCGAAGGAGGCGCCGGAGGGTTGAGCTTCGGAGCGGGAGCCTTCTTGGGCACTGGCTGAGGCTGCGGTGGAGGATCTTTTTCAAACAAATGGGCCGGTGCCGTTGGCTTTGGCCGTTCAGCTGGGATGTCTAGGCGCCTTCTGTCGGCACTGAGGTCCCCTAGCTGTTTCAAGAACAAACCAGGACTCAGCATATGCGACGTCGCAAGGAAAACATCCTTGTTGAACGCTTGGGAGACCTCATAGCAAGAACGAGCTTCGCCATACGTTGCGCCGCCAGCCATGAACACGATGATGCGTTGTCGGGGCTGCTCTGTGGCTGAACGGGTCCGAGCCCAAGTCGGTTTGGCGCTTCGCAGGGAGGCTTGCGAGAGGGTGTCCTGAGGCCCTCCCATGCCCTCTACCTCGGTGTTTGGCCGAGTGGGAGGAAAAGCCGTCGGGTCCAAAGTTCCTCGGACCAACTCCTCGAGCATCAACTTCAAATTCAATTCGTATCTCGACAAACTAGTTTCGTCGGATTCTGCGGGCGATGGAGGTTTTCTCTGGAACAGCGGCTGGACAGGTGGTTTCTCGTCCTTCAACTGTTTCTCTACTCTAGAACCAAGTAAATCGAGGTTGGAAATAACGTTTCCATCCTGCGGTGGGAGTTGAGCGTGCGCCATAAGCTTCCTAATATCCCCACCAAGAATTCCCCCTCTATACATGATGTAGAGGAGTAGAAGCCGGAGTCTATCCTGATGGTCCACTGCATCATCATCAAGTAGCTGAACAAGCTGTGAAGCCAAGTTCTTTGCCTTCTTGTAGTTCTCGTCCAGCCCAGTGGACAGGCACTGTTCAACCGAACTTACTTCCAATAGCTTGTGCTCCTGAAAGTGTTTCATGCATTCTTGTGCCATGTTAAGATGGAGCGTATATGCGTCCCTACCCTGTTGGAATTCTGTGAGACCAGCTAACATGTCTTTGATTGTGTTCACGTTGGCTTTGTCATTTCTATAGAAAGGTTAGCAAAAAAAAAAAAAAAAAGTCCACGGCTAAGAGATCTTAGGACAGTGAGGACTCACTCTTCAGCAAACTGAGGATTGGCTGCTCTGAATTTGGCAAAGTCTTCACCCAATTTTCCAAGGACATCTTTCATGTGAAGATGTCTGTAGTCAACCCAGACGGTATCACTTTCGGAGATTTCCATCTCCTTAAGTTCTTCATTATGACTACCTTCGTTTATAATTGTTTTGTAAGTGACTTTGTCCCCATCTTTTATCGGTAGCAAGTCATGCACCATAGATTGGTACGTAAATTCGTGGATAAGTGGCGCAACAACGTCCATAGAGCGATCCACCACCATAAGAACGCCTCGCGGTCTCTGGGAAGGGGGCGGGAAGTCCTTTTGAAACTGGGCAAACTGATCTAGCTCATTTTGAATAAATCGGGCAAGGTGCGAGCACATAACACTAGCTTCGTGCGTTGGCGTTCTAGGCTTATAGTATCGGATCACGGGGTACTCTCCTAAGCTCACACAAAGAGATACAATCTAGATCCTTGGTCAGTGGTCGGCTCCTATGACACTACATCAAGGAACAGAAGTACCGTACTTTCTGTGCCAGTCCCTCCAAGTGCCCGCGAATCAAGTGGTTGCAGCCGGGGTGAAACAACACGGGGAAACTCCACGGATCTCGGAACGTGACAAGACGCGATTCCCTCGGAAAGTAGTCGGCGCTCATAACTCGGAAGCTAGCAATTTGTTCTTGGGCCATTTGTGATCGTTCGAGCCTAGTGCGCTGTTGGGGGTCGAGGTCTGTAGACGAGGTTAGGACTCAACTCGCGGGCGCAGAAAAGGAGATGTGACCGACATGACGTCCAAACCAACCAGGCCTTCTTGTATCGCTTTCGCTCAAAGTCGGCCATTAGGCAATCGACAATATGTGACTGGGGCGATAGGATATACAGCGCATCCATAGGGTTGGACTTCCGCTTTTCCTCGATCTGCTCGACATCTTGAAAGAATGGTCGTTAGCCGATGCGATTCATTATCGATCTAAATACCCGGCTCACTGGTAACATTGAGGTTGAGAATATCATCCTCGCTCACAGCATTATCGATTAATTTCCGACTGGTCTCATCCACAACCAGGACTTTCCACTGCACGTCACCACCATTAGTTCCGCGTCCACAAGGAGGAGGGGTATTAGCACACCTCATTCCCTGCCGTATACCGGATTGTATTGAGAATGACTATGTGGAATAGGTTAGTATGTACAAGGAACTAGTGGTTTAGCTGAATACATCAAATACAGAAGGACTCACTTTCGCGTTGAATATTGAGTATGGAGGAGTTCATCTTGGCTGGCCGGCAGCCCTCTAGCTGTAGGTTAGGTTTGGTGTCGCAGACTTGAAAACAATAAGACCGCAGCCTGAAAGCGACTGGTATAGGGAGAATAATGACCAAAGGCAGGCGACAATTTAGAGGGTCCAATCAGGGGGTGGAGGGGTTGGGAATGGGAGTGAGTTCTTTCTTTTTGAAACGTATCTGTTACTAGAGACCCTCTCCCAACTGTCCCCACCATTCAATCCATCATAGATTGCGGCGGATCGGCAGCATTCATGCGGTGTGGCGCCGGCACGCTTTCGGCCATCCCTTATCGGGATACTGCTCCCTGCTGCTTTTAACAACGATAGTAGGTGCCAAGTATGATCAAGGTCGCGACCATGACTAAGGCGGCAGTGGCTACATACCAAAACTGGAAGATAAGTCTTTTATTTGGTTGGATACGGTCAATTTGCCGATGTCATTGGTACTCCTGCAAAATGATACTTTAATTTTTCAACCCAACTTGTCGTCGGTCGTTAAATGCATTGCACGGGTTTGGTCGCAGGTTCCCCTGCTAGCTCCATGCACCACTATATGCAGCTTTTCCGCGTTACAAAATCTGCTACAGCTTAAGTCTTTCGGCCGCGAATAGTCCACGGCGCCTTTCGAACGCGCTCGCCGTTTGAAACCCGCCTTCTCGCTTAAGGAATGCAGTCATGGGCGAGCAGAGGCAGCCATTGCCTGTCATGCGCTATACAACCTCTTTTTCGTTCGGGGATACGAACATTTTCCACCACACCAGCACTTCAGAGGTCGAAACGGTTGCAAAAGTCAAAGAAGGCACAAGAGGCCGCACAGACTAAGCCTGACAATGTATTTGCCCCTTTGGCTCCTTGTTTGATGACTCGTCTAATAATAGCTTGTGTTCCTGAATAGTCTCCGGCCAGACCTTCCCTCCGTTCCGCTACAAAGAATTCAAGGCAGAATGTCACCGCACCGGACTTCTCAATCATCGTGGGGACTCTGCTGAAGGAGCTCAAGAAAGAATTAGCACAGAGCTCTGAGTCGGCGTTAGCTGGATGGCAGAGATTTGAACGATATGTGATGAACGCATGCAAATTAGAGGACCGAGCAACTAGTGGGGGGTTCGGCACTCTACGGCAAGTGAAGACCACATTACAAAAGACGTACATTCAATCTGGCGTTCGGGGCCTAAAGAATGAGTTGGAGTATCTCCTGTACGCTGAGGATGTCACTTCGAAATACTCAACCCCCAACTTAGAACAGCAGAAGAAAGTGGCGGATATGCGTTTTCCAGCAGAGTGGTATCCGCAAGCGCGATCTATACAGCGAACAATACATCTACACGTGGGGCCAACGAACTCGGGGAAAACGTATCAGGCATTAAAAAAGCTCGAGGCTAGTAAAAGTGGCTTCTATGCTGGGCCACTAAGACTACTTGCGCAGGAGGTATACCATCGGTTTCAGGCCAACGGAACTACCTGCAGTCTTGTCACTGGTGACGATGTCAAAATCCCTGAGGGCCAGGCACCGACTATTGTGAGCAATACAGTTGAGATGGTTAATCTAGGGCAACCGTATGATGTAGGGGTCATTGATGAAATCCAAATGATTGGGGACCCCAAACGCGGATGGGCCTGGACTCGTGCTGTACTTGGGGCCCGTGCTAAGGAACTTCATCTTTGTGGTGAGCCAAGGGTTGTACCGCTGATACGAGAGCTGGCAGCCCTTACGGGAGATAAGCTTGAAATTCACCGATATGAACGACTAAACCCTCTGAAGGTTATGGACCGAAGTCTAAGGGGCGACCTAAAGAACCTGCAAAAGGGAGATTGCCTGGTCGCCTTTTCTCGCGTCGGAATTCACGCGCTTAAAGCAGATATTGAAAAGGTCACTGGGAAACGGGCGGCAATTGTGTATGGAAGCTTACCAGCTGAAATTCGGACTCAGCAAGCCAGTCTTTTCAATGACCCAAATAACGAATACGACTATCTGGTCGCTAGTGATGCCATCGGTATGGGCCTAAATTTGTGAGTCTGCTGTCGCTATAATGTCGCACCATATATCCTAATCAACCTTTTTACAGGAGTTGCAAACGTATCATTTTCGAAACACTCGTGAAGAGAGTGCCAGGTGGTCTTGTGAGGCTCTCCGTACCTGAAATCAAACAGATCGCAGGACGCGCTGGTCGTTACCGGTCGGCTGCTCAACAACAGAAAAAAGGAAAGCCTGCCGAGAATGACGGCACAAATGTCGGTTATGTAACATCCCTAGAAGAGGTGGATCTTCCCTACATTCACCAGGCCATGGGGATCGAGCCCCCTCCAATCACTGCGGCCGGCGTGTTCCCTCCAGAGCCTATTTTCCAGAGATTTGCCGCATACTTCCCTCAGAGCATTCCGTTGGAATATATCATTAAACGTCTTATTGATGTTTCCCAAGTCCATCCTTTGTTCTTCATGTGTGACCCTCGGGGTCAATTGGATAACGCTGAGGTTATAGACACTGTGAGCGGCTTGCGATTTGAAGACCAAATGACCTTTATGGCTGCGCCCATGCATACCCGGGACATCTCCTCGCGCGATGTTGCCTGTGCATTTGCGCAATGTGTCGCCGAGCACACAGGTGGTCGCTTGCTGGACATACCGGACTTGAATTTGGAGATTCTAGAAGAACCTGTGTCTGGAAACAAGGAATATTTGCATGACTTGGAGATATTGCACAAGTCTGTGATATTGTACTCGTGGCTCAGTTTCCGATTCGGTGGAGTCTTCACTGACCGAACTCTTGCCGCCCACGTGAAGGAGCTAGTCGAAGAGAGGATGGTTAGGGCACTGACTGAGTTCTCTGCTAATAAGAAGCTGAGAAAGGACGCCTCGCTTCGCCGCCAGATCGCTTTGCAGAAACAGATTCAGGATCATAAACGATTACTTGCTGAAGCCGATCTTGACGCTCTCGAAGAAGAGGGCGAGGAAACGGTCCCTATTGATCTCTCAGCCGACAACGACTCTCTAGAAAGGGTCAGTCCGGAGGCACAGGCTGCGTAGGATCTCATGCCTTGCCGAGATATCTACTGCGGATCTCATTGTAACGAAGCATTCCAGCATCTTCTCCACTCTCTCCGTCATAGTCATCGCGATGGTAGCGAGAACGACACAAGCCAAACTTTGTTTTATCTGGTTGAAGTTTGACATTCAAATATCTTAGGGGGGGCGAATAATAGTTGAAGACTTCCCTTGTTTGGATGATAGAAAGTAGGGGTTAGTGTAGCATACAAATGTAAATTAAGTGTATATTATATCAGTATATAGATCTAGCTCTGGCCAATTCAGGGTGCCATTCAGTTTTTGCTACCTGACATGATCAGCTTTAAATCTAATTCAATTTGCAGACACAAGGCATCTCTTTCAGAGATTTCCTAATAATGGTGTATCTCATACAATTGTAGCAAATACTTGTATAGCTTCTTAAGTTGCCCAACTTCGCTTCATACAGTAACCTCCCCAAATATCCAAGTAGTTCGACTTGTATTCACTCTTACTTTGAGCCAATAAAGTGAGCCAGGCAAAACAGAGCCTTTAACAATTTTCTTGTGTTGCAAAAATAAAAATATATGAATGGATTCCATACTCTGTACTAGTGAATGGTGAATACATTTGAAGTTGGCTTATCTTATCAGTGGCGAGTGGTCCGCAATACGCCAGAACGATTTTCCGCGACAGTGAGCTTTCCCGATTCAAGCATTCAAAGATTGGCGAAACGCAACCTACTGACCAGAGAGGTGCGTAGCACACTCTTCTGCGGATTAACTCACATATTCAAGAATCCATTTGATTGGTTTTGATTGTTCGTTGACTTGCGGTCACTTTTGAAGCACCAGTCATGGATGACCTCCAGAGTCTGGAGCTCTTTTCGCTCGTTTCGCGAATTACGAGCGAACTCCAGAACCACTTGGGTATTAATGACAAGACATTAGCGGAGTTCGTGATTGACCAGCATCTGAAATGCGGTTCGTTTTCGAAATTCAAGGAGACCCTAGACGAGATGGGCGCAGAGTTCCCTCAGAGTTTGATGGAGAGTATTGACCGTCTAGTGCTCACCATGCACCCGAAATACAAGACGAAGAAGACGGACGATGCCGACAAAGCGAAAGGGGGTGATGATATGGACGTCCTCGATGCACTCGAAAAGAAGGCGCGCGTGTTCAAAGGTCTAGCTGTTCCGGACAAGGCACCACAGTGGGATGAGGACGACTACACGGATAGGAAAATTGCAGACGAAGGCGATGCCAAGGCCGATGCAATGGATGATACATTTGCGATGCTTGAAGGGCTAGCAGGAAAGGCTCAAGAGGAGAAGGGTCGCGCAACAGGGGAGGACCGGAGTAGCAGAAAACGAAGCAGAAGCCCTGGTTACGATGACTACGATCGTGGACGTCGGCGCAAGGATAAATATCGTTCCCGGTCGAGATCGTATAGCCCCCGTCGCCGTAAGAGAGATGACGACGTCGACGAATTCGGCCGTACGCGAAGCAAGTATTCCAGCCGGGATGAAACCCGCGATGGTCACAGCGAACGGCGGCGGCGGCATGATCGGAGTCAGGACGACCATTTTCGGAAACCACCCCCAGTTGAGTTGGATGATGCCCCGGTACTATACAAGGTCTACGATGGACGTGTCACTGGTGTGAAGGATTTCGGAGCCTTCGTGAATCTCTTGGGTGTCAAAGGCAAGGTGGATGGCCTGGTACACGTTTCTGCGATGCAAGAAGGGGCGCGAGTAAATCATCCTTCGGATTTGGTCTCCAGAGGTCAGCCAGTCAAAGTCAAGGTCATCAGTATACAAGGGTCTCGCATTGGGCTCTCGATGAAGGAAGTCGATCAAGTGACCGGGCTTGATCTTATTCCTCAACGCCGATTGGCGTCTGGCGCCAATATGGAACGCCTCGACGGGACTTCAGCGAATGAGCGATATGGCAACTTGAGCTCGGAAGTGCCTGTCATCGAGGATTCTGATGGAAAGCCTATGAAAAACCGGAAGCGCTTAACTTCACCAGAGAGGTGGGAAATTAGACAGCTGATCGCATCCGGTGTTGTGTCAGCGGCTGACTACCCCGATCTCGACGAGGAATACCATGCAACACTGACAGGCGAGGGCACCTTTGAGGAGGAGGAAGA